GTTCAAGTGTAATATACATAAAAGCAATACAATGTCTGGGTTAAATATGTTCTAAATTCTCTGACATGATTTGAGAAGCAAAATGTTTTGTTTTGCACTCAAACATGAAGAGATGAAACAATGGAATTAAAGATACAGGAACCAAAAGAATGATTCAACAAATTTATGAAATATGTTAAAATTCTCTTTTAACCTTTGTCATTCTGTATGTGACTTCATTTCTGTACAAAAAGTTTATCCTGCTACCGAAGGTGACTCTGATTCCTGAACAATAATGTGTTTGAATTTCATAGTTGTTTCGTCATATCCTGCTATGGCAACAGAAAACAGCTTTGAGTGAAATTAACAATAAGGATATTGCAATTGAGAAGCCTTGAAAAAGAATGTGGTGGGAAGGGAAGTAATATTAATAATGCAGAATGCTAAAGCTTAAATCTTCAGAAAATAGTATTTTAGGTCTAAAAATGGTTTTATTGATAAAACATATTCCTTACATTTTACAATTTATATAAAAATGTTAAATTTTATTTTGTTATACATGGGAAAAATAAAACAAAATTCAAAAGTGACAAAATAATAACAGAAATTATAAAAGCTTAAGAGCAATTTAGGTGTAAATTAAAGATGATTGTTCTCCTGCAGTTTTGCTAATTTCATTTTTAATTTTTAAATCAAGTTACCATGCAGTGTTGATTCCCATGTCTACATTGGCTAAATTTATTGAGAATCCTTCCCCCGTAAATAAAGAAAATTTGAAATATGAGATTAGGTGATATAAAATGTTTGTTAGTCTTATCAGTAATATCTCTACTGCTTTTAGTCTTAGTTTTACTTGATCTTAAATTGAATAATTAACATTTTATTCACAAAATATCTTCATAATAAAAAATTATATTTGTCAATAGCTGAGCTACATCACTCTTTAGTTTTCAACATAATTTTCATCAAGAGCAAACTGAACCTGAAATAGGAAGCCCATCGTCTATTGTCAGAGGCTGAGATTTAATCAACAATAACTACAATATCTTTGTTAAAAGCAATAGCACTAATATAAAATACTTAAAACAAAAGTTAATTTATCATAAACTCAGAACAAATTCATTGTAGCTGCAAATAATGCCTTACATTGGTTTCACATCAAAGAGAAGATTAAATTTTATTGCACTGTTTTTGTACATTATATGAATCTTTTTATACATTGGTTCATTCTTACTTGTTTCCTCATTTTTGTTGTTTTGGTTTTTGTTGTGCTTATGAGTTTGTCTTGCAGATTAGTCACTTGTGGATAACAAAAACTAACATGATGAAACTTCCCAATGTTACTTACAATCAGATGGAGCAATCTTGACATATGCAAATTTAAGCAACAATTAATAAGCAGTTTGAATTGTGCTGATCTTGATGTTATGCTTGTTGAAATTGAAAAGCTAAATTGAGATACGACAGGTTTATCAGAATTTCAGATCAAAAGAATATATCGTTGTTGTATTTCTTCCTTGAAGTAATCACCTTTTCAATTCTGGCAATGAAAATTCCAGATCAAATAAAGTAAATTTCTTTGTCCACAAAAACTTAGCATATAGTTTTTATGACTTTCAAAGTATATCAGACAGGCTTGCTACTATTACATTCAGGATAATAAGAATAAGCTGGTTTTCATTCATTTTTATATTTTCCAACTTGTGACCATCCAGGTGATGAGGTCAAATACCAGTATATAGTAATTCAAAATTTAACTGATAAAGGTGTCTTTCTTTTTTTTATGGAAGACTTTAATGCTACAGTTAGAAAGCTTATTTCTCATCCTTCATCTGCTGGTCAGAATACCATTGGAAAATGCAATACATGCAGTGAATAGTTTGCTAATTTCTGTTCTAACAACTGATTTAGCATAAATACCTTCTTTCAAAAGAGAAGGATATATACCTGGAATGTGAATCAAACAGATTTTATCTTATCCACAACAAATTGTCCATGTTACAATCTGTTCTAAATATCCCAACTATATTTTTGTTTGGTCAGACCAAAAATCTTTCACTTGAAAGTATAATATTGAAACTTTGAAAATCACAGAAGTGATGAGATCTTTTCACTTAAAGCCAAGGAATAAATTTCTTCTCAGCCATAACTTTGATGAAACAGACATACATTTTCAGGCTACCAATTCTTCAATCATTGTAACAGCCAAAAAATTGAGCCTGTATCCAAAAATCCTATGCCACCATTGAGGTGTTTGAAAACAAAAAAAAAGTACACAAGAAGTTTAGTGAACCTTCCATTGACTATAAAGAACCCAAAGCAGAAATGAAAAAACATTGCTAAAATCAAAAAGCTAAACAATCTTAATAAACTTTCTAAAACATTGAATAAATTATTAAGGATAAAAATGGAAACATTTTGATTTCAAGAAACTTTACAAGTTGAGTCTCTTTTATGAAAATTTCTAGAGTGATACAAACTCTTTGCAATTTATCCTATTCCTGACATTAAACTTCAAATCCCAAGTAGAATCTCAGATGAAATTATGTTTTGTTAAAAAAATTAAAATAAATCTGGATTTTTACAAACAGGGAGTGATATCATGATGAACATTCTTGAGAAAGTTTTTAATATGAGTCTTGAAACAGGTTAGATACCATCTAGTTTTAAAGAAGCACTCGTAGTTTTACACATTAAAAAGAATAACAAATGAGAGATCAGAATGCAAAATTCTGTCTGTTTGTTCATACATACAATCATAGGGAATAGGATTACATACAAACTTTATCTGTTCTTCCATCTCAAATAGTTTATCAACCTGGTTGCAGCATGGGACATGAAACAGATTTTTGCATTTTGTCAGCAGATTGAAAAATCAATACAATAAGCCAATTCATATGGTTTTCTTTGATTTCACCAAAGATTTTGACAGCATTAAACTGGATAAACTTTGGTCAAAACTTGAAATGACTACCATCAACAAAAATTACATAAATGTTCAATTTGTATATGATTATTGTCAGGCTGCTATAAAAACTTATTTGGTGATAGCCATTTCATTTTCAGCAAAAGTGTTAAATAAGATGATATGTCATTGGCTATTTTCTTTTGTGGTGCAATATCAGCTGTAATGTTTATAACTGAACAGGGGTGTAATGAGAGCAGTTTCTCTATTGGGAGATCAGATAATATCAAATCTCTCACATGCAGATGATACAACAGTGATCCAAATATTTTTTAATTGTCTTTCCTCATAATGAAAAAGAAATAGGCTTTGAATTAAACCCCAAGAAGATTGTCTCAATAACAACAAAGTACAAGCACAACATCCAAATAAACTGAACAAAAATTGATCAAGTGACTGTTTTTTAGATATCTTGGTCACAAGCTATCCTGCAAGAAGTTGCAGTAAAGCACTGAATAAGCCTATATAAAGGTTTTCAGGAATCAAGAAGAGAACTAATCTACACTAAAATAAAGATATAGCTTATATACATTCTCCCAGTAGATTTATTTGGCTTAGAGTGTGTGATGTGAATTCAATAACTTTCAACTCCAATTGAAATATTCCAAAACCATATGATGCACATCATCACAGATCAAACTGATAGAGAAAGTGAAAAGAGCCATTCTTAGAAATATAACCATTTTGCCTCTACTCTTCAATACCATCCATAATAAATACATCAAACTATTTGGACACATTACAAGATTTAGTGTTTGCTAAATTTTATCTTGAGGGTATGGTGCCTGGAAAAAGTAGAGGAAAACTAAATCAGAGATGGCAGGATAACATAAGTTTGTGATAGCCAATTTATAAGTAATAGACACTAAACTCAATAAATGGTGGGAAATAAATCATACTAGTTTCCATCTGTGGTAGGTTGTAAACTAACTAATGATGATGATGATGATTCTTTTTCCTCACATTTACTGCATTTGGTAACTGTCAGAGAATGTTAGCTGAAACTCTTTATTTGATCCAAGGAGATTGTTTTTATTCCTATTCATGTCACATTGTGATCAAACCAACAGATGAGGAAACTCGTAACAATGAAATCATGTATTGTAGCAACAACATTTTGTCTTGAAAATTTGGACCAAAAATTGCAAATGTTATTTTTGCATTATCAAATATGTTACATTTAATATTTAAAAAGAAATATTAAAATGATAGTCATCTATTTGCATTTAATGGCAATGAAATAAAAGTTAATGTTACACATTGGTGGCAAAACATAGCAACAGAATATATCACAGCAAATACAGAAATTTCAATGTATACTGTATCTACCTGCACAAAATAATTTCTTTTTTTTTTTTTTTTTTAAAAAAAAATCATTTTTTAATATAAGTTTCATAAAAAAATACATTTTTCTTGAAGGACATTTGAAGATGGAAGAAGGTTTTCCTGCAGGGTTTCTTTAGGAAAGTCTGGTAGCACATTGTGGGTTGGTTAGACACGCAGGGCAGCAAAATGTTTCATATGACTTGACATCAAAAGAAAAGGCAAATCTAAAGAATGGATTCTAAAGACAGTTTCTGCAAACAAACTGAGTTCACTGCATCATGATTTAATATGTCTAACTGGATTCCAAGAGGCAGTATGGTAGGCAAAATATGAATAAAAATGGATACTAACAGCTCAAAGTACAGGTCATAGAAGTTATAGAATGATGCTGTTGTATAAAATTAGTAAATAGGTTGCTGCTAAAATTTGAAATACCAGTCGACATATTCACCTGTTTAGTGAGTGAGGCAGGATAATGGCTGTTCTCTATCTCAGAACCAAGAATGGATGGTTAGTCTGACTTGAGATTTCCTGAGGATAAAACCTAGGGCCATACATAAAGCATTTAGTAATTGTCCCTCATGTTAATTATATGTTCTTTAATGTTTACACATTTTGAACTTCATTTTCAATAAATTATCACTTTAGAAGATTCCAAATGCATTTTTGTTAAATTCAGTTTTAACAGCATGATCTTTTTAGGAGGAATAAAAAAAAACAAATTCTCTATTTAGTTCCAGTGTTCTTCAAAGCAGGGAACAGTGTAGTCTTTGGTAAGTACATTCTGTGAGCAATCATCTTCAGCATCAGAGAATTGACTGCCACCAAATTCATTTTCATCAAAGAGTAAGTTGTCGTCATCTGATTCTTCATCAAATTGTTTGTTTGTTTTCCTCTCAACCAAAACTGAATGTCCATCTGATGTCAGGTTGTAACCAGCACAAATCAGAGATTTTCTACAATATGAAAAACAAAGTCATCAGCTAAAACAATATATAATTCTTCCATATCTGCTAAGCAATAAAGAAATCTGAATATGCGATTGGAAGTAGTATATAATATGCTAATTATAAGCAAAAAAAGAGAAACAAACATTTACTATATTTTGTTTGATGGTCCATGAAAACAACAGAAAGATAGTCGTTGATGTCCAAAAAGAAATTCATCAAGTTATCCATTAGGTTGTCACACATGAAATGATGCACTTTATAGGAGATGAATAAAACGCTTCTGAAATGTTAAATAACTTATTTATTTAGTTATAATAGGCACCATGTTGATGAATGATTGTTCTCTAATGTACCTCTAAATTCTTAATCCCATCTTTAATAAATTCTCATCCTTTGATGTGATAAACTGTTCAAATCTCTTTCTTATTGAAGAATGTTTTATTGCATATGAAAAGTTCAAAATGTTTAAAAAAGTGATAATCAGTAGGTGAGATATCAGGTGAATATGTAGGATGAGGCAAAATTTCACAATTCAGGCTATGCAACTTTTGGACAGTCGATTGAAAAGCATGTGGCCATGTGTTGTCATGCAGCAAAATTGGGCCATCCCTATTCACAAATCTAGGATGTTTCTTTTTCAATTTTTCATGCATACACACAATTTCTTCACAATACAAGGTTGCCGTTATTGTTTTCCCTTGAGAAAAGAATGAATAATGTATAACCCCTTTGAAAGACCACCACAGAGTAAACCTTAACGTTTTAGGGTGCAATGGAGGTATGGGGTATTGATTTGGTGATTCACTTGCATCTAACCACTTGTCTACTCTCTTACTGTTGTCAAAGAGTATTCATTTCTCATCACATGCAATGATTTGATTCAAAAATGGTTCTTTTTCCCAGTTTGTGCTCATTCAGTAAGATTACTTGATATTGTTTTATTGGAATCATTTTTATTGCGCTGATGAGTATCAATATATTGAAAGAAAAATTATCAGGAAAGAAAAAGAGTCAAGAATAAGTCAAGATTTTTTTTATATACTAAGTAGGTTACTTCATTATATGACTAGATCAACAAACAACCAAAAAATGTGTCATTTCATGTGTGACAACCTAACAGCTTCCTATATAGATGTCGATGAGATCAACTTTCATGCTCAAATTAATTTCTATATCCATTGAAAATATAAATGAAATATTTTCTCAATAAGAAAATCACTGAGCTCAAGTTTTTGAGGCTCATACATATTTTTGAGTTGATAGCATATAACACCTCTTCATTTTGTTCACCCACATTGCTGCCATATCTTTTAATTTTATCTACAGGTTCCTTTAAGAAGCGTCCTGAAACTGAAATTTAAAATTTTTTTTTCTATTGAAATTAACTTTACGTCTGATTATCCTATTACCCCCCCTCCCCTCAGTGTCCTTTGAAAAATTAAATGTCATATTTGTCTACAATCACAATACATTTGTTGCTTGTTTTCAGCAATTGTCAATGATGACCTGTCTAAGTTCCAGTTTATCATGTCATGAAAAAAATTTAATTTTCTATTTAGCATAGATCTGATTTTTAATTGGTTAATCAAAACAAGCACACAAGTCTATTTTTAATTCTGACCATGTGTCTTCTCACTCCCTTCCCTTTATCTTTCAGAAAAGAGGTGATACTTTGCTTTTGAAATTTTCTTAAAATCATTTAAGCATCAGTTACTTATCATCACCTGAAGAGGCACAAAGTTGCTTAAACATGAAAGCTATTGTGTATCAATTTCAAAATGTTTTTGTTATAATCTCTTTTATTTATATATTTTATTGAAAATGGGCAACAAGGAAGATTTAATTAATCTCTTATTGAGTTTTCCAGAGGTTAAAGAATATGGAAATTGTCCAAAGTTATAATTCTTCTGAGCGCTTTCGGATAGTTCTATACCCATTATCAAAGATATTGTTTTTGGATGGTGAATTTCTGTGTTGACTTCTACATAGTAGTTTAGCTGTGTGGAGTTCGTGCAGTGTGTGTGTGTGTGGGGGGGTGCTTTTTGGCGGTTATGTACTATGTGAAGCTGGTTGATCTGGGCATCATTTGTCTTTTTAGAAAACCTTTAACATAACATCTCCACTACTAAATAGTGTAAGATTGATAGCAGGAGGATGGTATTTAATCAGCAATGCTTCCCTACAGATGAGTTGTGTACAACTATGTGATTTGAAAAGAATCTTTGTGTTATTGACTATAATTTTCCTTAAGCTTCATGTATATTATGAGTTAATAAATGTTTATTAATCACACTCTTCTTTGAAAGGTGACATGTAAGATGTCTACTTAGGGGGTTAGTGGTGTGTCTGATGTAGGTAACTGATTTTTGACAAGTAACACAGTCTTGTACAAGGCATTGAAATTGGTACACTATATTGGTCATCGCTAGTTTAAATTTTTGGGAGTTATTTCAGTTGGCGACAACAAGCTCTGTGTTCTTTCATTTTCTAAAATATATTATGAACTTTATATGTTTTCCAGGGCTTACAGCAGAAATATGTTGTTTAATGATTTTTCTTATAGCAAATTCATCAGGCTTATAATTATTGTGAATCTGGTTGCAATAAAATATGTTGATGTTTTGTGGTGTTGTATTTTTGTTACTGGCATTGTGTATTTTTTATAAGAATAATTTTATTTTTTTAACAATGATGTAGTTGGAAAAATTATTGTTGACTAGTGTTTGTTTTATGTGTTTTAGTTCGCTTAGAAATATTTTAGGGGAAGAGGTTATTTTGGCATGCCTTATTTATGAAGTTTGTTATCAGTGTTATTTTATATCTTTCCCTGCTATCTTAGTTTAGAAGACAAGAGTTCATACTAATGAGTTTTCATTAGATTTTAGCACTATCTCAATGTCAAGGAATGTGATCTTGTTATGTACCATAGGTTCATATGTGAATTTTAATGTTGAGTTTTTTACAAAAGTTGATTTTAGCTTTACAATTTCATCTTTATTTTTTAACAAAACGAAAATGTCATCCACGTACCTTTGTGTAGATTTCATGTTTATTGGTTGTTTTAAATATTTTGCTTTCAATGTAGAACATGTAAAAGTTAGTGAAAGCAGGACCTAAAGGGTTTCCCATGATAAGATTGTTAGTTTGGATAGCTCAAATCAAAAATTAATTAAATCTTCCTTGTTGGTCATTTTCAATGAAAGATGCGTGAAAGAAAGGTTGCTGCCCAAATACACATGGGTTGAAAATTTCAACATTCCTACCAACAGAGAAATAAGGATTATATTGATATATCTAACTAATATTATATTACCAACCTGAGTGAATTGATATCAGAACAGTTTTCCCATATTCCACTATACAACATTAAGTCTGTTAATGGAACATTGACTATTGATGACTTTTCTCTTTTTGATTCTTCTTCTTTTTCTTCTTCTTCTTCCTCCTCCTCCTCTGCCTCTTCATTTGACTTGAACCAATCATAAGCGTACTTATTTAAATAAAAATTGACAGAATCCAATAAATATGACTTTTTTCGTTCATCACTCATATAAGGGTATTGAATTTTGGTGATCTGCAAAAAAGAAAAAAATGAATATGATTTTAATGTTTGAATTGCTTTCTTTAACATTTTAAGTCTCATTTTGCATCAAAGTGATGCTGGACATAACTTTGATTTCACTAATGCCACCATACTTGAAAAAGAACATAATTCTTTAAGGAGAAAATATTTTGCAAACTTAATAATAACATTATAACCAACTATAAACACATGCCTAAAACATTACATGGCCATCTTTCTTTTACTCCATTCTTAAAGAATCTAACTTATATCTAATACAAAGAATACATGCTTAAAGAGATCAGCCATAGATTAGAATGAAGTGACACCTCACTTGCACTGGCTGACTAGACAAAGGTGAAGACAACAGAACTCCCACTAGACAGACACACATGCATAATTACGAATACACATTACCATCTGAAATCTGGTTAGACATACAAGAATTTTCACAAACTTACATACATATAGAATTATCTATGGCTTTGATGCATGTGATACATGACTAACCAATGAGAATCAATTCAAACAAAATTGAAAATACCAGTGTTTCTGTCTTTTTTCTCTCAATCACTGACAAAGCTTTAATAAAAGTGAAACATATTAGATTGATATACATTTCCTATTTTATCATATATAACTGTTTTTTTTTTGTTGAGGCAGAATTGGGATTAATCTCACACAAAGCAAGGCGTGACAAAGGATTTATCATAATGATTTGGAGGTTTTACAAGGCTGGATGCTTTTCCTGATGCTCAAATCAGACACCCACAATAGTCCAAGTATACCAAGTGTTCTTATTGAGACACCATCTCTAGGAAGGTTGTCATTCAAGGCTTGAGACCCCACCCTAAGCTTATATATATATATATATATATATATATATATATATATTTATTATAAGAGATTGAGGACATCTGTGTATGAATTTCTGGGTATTATAAACCTAATGTCTTCAGTGTCGTTTTTTACCAGTGCTCATATTGCAATTTTTGTTGTTATTATCACTTTTCTCTGGCACTCCTTATTGCTGGTTCCCATATTGTATTCATTTCTATGCTTGGTCAGCTCAGGAGATTTTTGTGGCTTAGCATATGTGCTGATTCATTAAGTTTACGAATTTTCCAATGGTGTTCTTTGTCTATGATCTCAACCTGAACCCACAGAGGGCGTTGATCTCCCTTCTCTCTCCAGATGTGGTCAGCCATGCCTGATTTTTCCACTTCCCCTCATGTTACACCTTTCTGGTGTTCTTGAAGCCTTACCTTAAGAGGGCGACCTGTCTCCCCTTTATATTTCTTTCCAGAGCTGCACGGGATAGCGTACACACAGTCTTTAGTCATGTTCTCCTCTATGTGGGGAGGATCTTACTCGGGAGAGATATCTGCGAAGTGTCGTCAAGCTTTTGAAGGTACATATTAATCATATGACAAATTTGCAGATTGTCTTCAGTTTGTCCTATAAACAATTTCAGCAATTGTGTTTACTTTCCAGGGATTCTCCATTGTTCTATTCTTGGCTTAAACACATCAAAAGTTTTTAAGTAAATGTCAAGATTGTCATTGAGTGATAAAAACATAAAATATGGATGTTTCATCAATTACATTAAATCTTTGGGTTATGACAGTCCCAACCTACAACAATTTGTAGTTACAATGCAATCTTCTTTCATCTTGTTTTGACTTATGCTGTTTGCCTTATACATGTGATGCAAATAGCACAACAGAAGAAAACATCTTCTAGAGTGAGCTAGAGTGAGGAAGGCAGCATGGGTCAATTCCTGGCTGCTTGCCATATTGGATTGTTGTGCATTCACTCTCTTTTATTTGTGTTGTGTTTATGGAAACTTATTGCCCTTCCTTATAGCTCCCAAGAGTAGTGTAAACACTTCTCATGGCAGTGCTTCAAAGAAAAGGAATGCCATCACCATGAAAGTACGTACATTGCCAAAGACGAGAAAACTGTACTGGGCCATAAAGTTGGCACGGAGAGGCTCACTTGCCTCTTGTGGCTAATGCTGCTTGGTCACTTCAAGCTGAGACCCTTGCTGGTGTATCATGCTGAGAATGCAAGGGCATTTGGAAGGGTCAACTTCCTGTCATCTGGAAGGCTAACAAGAAGGCAAGGGTGACACTTAATATTTTTCAGGACTGGTCCTCCAATCCTTTTCTGGCAAGACATACCTTTCTTCCAAGGGCCTGCCCTTTAAAGCATTGCTTGTGCTGGACAATGCCCCTGTGGTCACTCTGCCCATTTTGATGTTTATTCATAGAGAATCATAGATAAATTCTGACTTAAACAGAAAATCGCATTACGACACATCATAAGAATGGAACTCTATCATAATTCGAGAACCTCCAGTATTATTATTATTATTATTATCACCATCATTACTTATTAATTTTAACTAAGATTTACTTTCACCTAAATATTTTAGTTGATTTGTTTTTATCACAACTTCACTCTGGCCATCAATTTCCAGTCTTGCAATGTTAACCCAGTTCTGTAGATTGACAGAGTGAATAAAAGTTTTAATAAAAAGCAACTGTATATTAAAATGAAAGTAAATATTAGTTAAAATTAATAATAATAATTGTTGACAATCCTTTTTCTAATAAAATTAATGCAGAGATTAAGAAATTTGTTGAAGTAATTTTCCTAGTTCATTTAATTTTGTATTTATTTCACTTTCATTTGTGAGAGCTTTTCTACTCTTAAGTTATAAGACACTATGGCTATGTCAGCCCAATATGCTAAAAGATTAACTAACACAGAACATTTATAGTTCAAATGAGTTGTGTTTAAATCAAGGCAACTGAATTTCTGAAGATATTTTCTTATCTCTTCATAATTATTGCAAAAATATCAAAGAAATAATTACAAATTTGTAAGTGTCTTCTTTCTTGATGGGATCATAAGAAATATCTTGCAGTCTGTTGAAAGTAGCTATTTGGCTGCAGTAACCAAGGTTTGGTATTTTATCAGTCTCTCCAACTCCAGAATATTCTACATTATAACCATACATTTCAGCTATGTTGTTACACCTGCAATAAGAAAAGAAAACCAAATCATCATTACTTATAATATCTGTGTCTATACAGTATTTCATATTCATAGCTACTTAGTAATATATGGTAAGATTTTAATGTTTCAGGTTTAATTTTTGGCTGGTGTTTTTTTTAAAGAATAAAAATTTAGCTTTGTTCATCTGATCCATACATGTAAATATAAAAATTAAACAAGAAAATCTGGGTCAAGTCTTGCAGATAAGACAGAATCATTAAAAACGTATAGAATAATTTTCATCTAGTTTTGTACCATGCGGATATTTAACAGCAGAGTAGAATGGGTACTTGCAAAATCATTTAAAAGAAAAAAAGAAAAAAAACGAAAAAAAAAAAAAAAAAACTCTCACCAAGACTGGAATTCTTCCCTTGTCCATTCAAATTTGTGGTCCCAGTGCCTCAATTTTCCTTCGGCCATGTCAAATACAACATTAAATTCTGAATTGGGAGTTGTTAGTACAACTAGTTTTGGGTGCAATTGTCCAAACACCATATTACAACACATTTCCAGATCTTCAGGTATAAGATGTTCAATTCTGTATTCAGAAAAATAATTGATTAAAATGGGAAAATATTTTGCCTACACTGGAAATAAGTTGTTCTCAAACAAAATTTTTCAAATGAATGATGAGCAGAATTTTTAGTGAAATCTTTTAATTTTTGTAGAATTTGATTCATTTAGAAAAACCTTTAGAATTTTAAGAGAGAAAACCTACAAATTGAGAAATTACTTAAAATTATATAAATTGAAATATTTGTACATTAGGTAATTATTAATACATATTATTGTCGACTCCATATTATTTTTTAAAATTGTATTAACCTTAAACAAACAATATAATAAGTGTATTAATATTTTACAAGTTGAGAAAAGTTCTAATTTAGTTGAGTATCCATCACAAGGAAATTGTGTAAAGAATTCTATCCACATGAGGTGTAAGACTTCTAAAAAGCTTGTTTGGTAGATAATGGTAGCTTACTCACCAATACCAAAGATGGTGATTTTTAATGCAGATTGGCAGGCCCTCCCCACTTGGAAGATTGACATATTTTTCCCACCACACCATTTTCTCCTATTTGTCCCTGAGCAGTACTAATCTCAAAAAACAAACTGATTATAGAAACAATTTGACAAATTATGACATCACACACCACCCATAGTCACCAGGCAAGTCTGTGGTCAATCCCTACAGCGAGCATTGGAGCTGGTTGCTCTGATCCTCAATCCTACCTTGTCTATGTTGTGTTTGTTTTAGATCACAAGGTGGGTGAAGGCTGAGTTGTATACACAACATCTCTAATACAGCAGCTTTGGTGAGATGACCCCATTAGGAACAAAGTTAGAGACAGCTGTGTAACACAACAACTTTATATCAAAGGCTCATACTCACTAAATTAACAACTTGCATTTTTTTAGCACCTTCCCTCTTAATACCCCCATGACACTATGTTTAGCCATGCTTGGTAAACAGGCACAAGGCTGATTTCTTCCACTCTGTAAGTTCTTCGGGGTGACTATCCTGTTGTATCTGGTAGTCTGGAACAAAGAGTCTAAGTTCTTTCTGCAGAAGTAGTGTGTGGTTTGGCAAAATGGGTCTTGAACCAACTGGCAATGTGCCTCTCTTGCAAACAGCACCCTGAACTGTCTCTGGTTTCTTCTTTTCAGTCTCTTGCTTCACGCGTCTGTATTTATGGACCATCGTGCAAACTCAGCGTAGGGCATGAGGTGGTTGGGGGTTCCCAGGGAAACCTCAATATCTATACAGAGCCTTTTGTTATCTGGTCTTGGGAAATGGATTGCTTGACCAAATTTGGGAAGATTCCTCCCCCAAAGAGTGGTGGTGACAGAATATCAATCCACCCAACTCCTTCCATCTCATGTGGGTGCCTTTCACTATTACTGCCCGAATAGTGCTGGCGATTCTTCCACCTTCCTTGAAATTCTACCTGGGTCTTTTATATCTCTCTTTGTTCCTCGGTCAAACTTGACCCCAGAGGCTAGGCATGGTCTATACCAAATTACTAAATTCAATTATTATCCCAAATTTCCATCAGTGGGGAATTCTTATTGCATCCTTGTGGGGTCGGTTACATCTGGGATTTGTCATCTGTTGCTTCCCTTCATCAGCTCTTTGATCAACAAGTGACCCAAAGAGACAATTCCTTTGTTTTAATAAATTTTATCACATCTTAGAAGAAAAAAATATAACCACAATTTAATTTCTGTCTTTTGAGATCCAAGTCTTTATCAACTGACTGAATTTTGGCTAGAGACTCATTTTTAGCCATTGTGAGTGGCCTTCGTTTAATGAGTGATCCACCGACATTCTATCCGATGGCTTCTACATTAGTCATGTTCGGTATTTGAGGCCATTAAGATATAATCTATTCTTCTGCGCATGGTCGATTGGACACATAAGAAAATACCATCACTTAATATTAATTTAGAAAAACAGATAGCTTCTATGCTAATCATTGTCAGCATCAAAAACCTGGGGTGGGGAGAGAAAAGATGTGACACTATTTAGCTATGGTAATTGGCTAACTAATTAATCATAGAAATTAAAAACAGGAAAGACTTAAGGTGAGAAAGAGCTATAATCAAAAGATAGACTGATCGATGTTAAAAAAAAAGATTTTATTTTATTTACAAAAAAAGATACCTTTCGCAAAAGACAGAAAATCCGTAAGAAAAACAAAATTGTGATTCTGTCAAAATTAATTAATGTCATGATAAGGGAGTACGCGCCAAATGAAACAGAATTCTGAAAGAAAAACAAAGCCAACCAATGCATGCGACCATAAAAAAAATTTCAGCTTGAGACCACCACAGAGAATAGATATTAATTGTCTTTCAGAGATATCATTTAATTTTAATTCCTGGTTCCAGTGAAGAAAGCCATCTGGGATATGCATGAATCTTGGCATGAGAAGGAAATCATAAAGAGAATCATTATTATTGCTTATTCAAACTGTGGACTTCAGAAATAGCATCTCAAAAGTGAGCATCTGGTGATAAAAGAATTTTAAAGCATGAGAAAAATAAAGAATTTGATTCTCAGGTAAACACGACCACCCAGTTAAAAGTTGACTGGCAGAGAAACCAGGTGTCGGGTTTTGACAATGGTTAATGAGTCGGTAGAGGTTTGGGCTAAGTGGATTTGGGTGTCCCCAAAATCAAGATGTGATAAGAATTAATTGGCAATCTGGGATTTGTAAATGTTTTGGCTGAAGGAAAAGGAAAAAGAAAAAAAAAGGATTTTGAAAACAAAATTCTGGAATAATTCTAAGAGGGCCAGTCTAGCCACACCCACACTGCCGAGAGATCATTGGCCAAGTGGCAGCATGGGTGATAGGCGGAGGTGAATGTATGAGAAAGATGGAGAAGTTGTTAACATCCACTGAGGGGATTGGTATGAGATACCAATGTGAGAGAAGAAGAGTCTAGGAGGGTAACTCTCCTCCAACCTTACCTCATGGACGAGGGAGGAACCTCTGAAGTGGAAAGTGATTAATCTTCCAAAAATGGGAAGTAATTAATTTTCCTGGCCTAAGAACAAAGAGAATTCTTGTTGGGAATTGAGATTCATCAAGGAACCCAAACCATGTCAGGCCCCCACACCAGGTTTTGGTCGGTGTCCATATAAACGAACGTCTCGAGGCAGCTGAGCAGTCAGTTTCAGACACAGTCGGAGTTACGGAGTCAGAGTGTTGCCTTGCAGAAGCTGACCGAGAAATTCCACATCCTCTTGACTTGGTCTTCCTACCAAAAGCAAGTTTTTATTGACGAACGATTTAAGATACCATAACTCACTTAAGAAACGCAAAAAGTGTCACAAATCCATAGAAACGGGCTGGGAGAGAAACACACTCCTGTATTCAACAGACAGATAAAGATAATTGTTATTTCTCAAAATATTTGAACCTCTTGAGTTTGTTTTATTATTTTTTTTACTTAAACTTGTGCGGTATCACCTTTACCCTGGATTGCACTACTGCCCAACGCCTGATTGATTTCGTCTACCTAAGATCAAAGTCACAATGTTGGTAGGTTAGATTTGAGATCAAAGCAGTTACTTCGGTGACCAGATGTTGGAGGCAAGCTGAGAACGACAAAGCTGGTATCGAACCAGGAACGACCAGATTGACCGGGATACAGGCTGGTGGAAGCGACAAAGAGTCAACTCCAAAATGCTGGTGGAAGAAACCTTAGAGCTTCGTGCCACCACTGGGAGTTGACCACGGGCCAACAGCGCAGTGTCATATATTGACGTTGCAACCAGTGGACGTCACATATTGGTGCGGTGACCACACCAGTGGGTGTCACATATTGGACTGCAACCGCCGGTGGGTGTCACAAAGAAAACAAATATCCTTTTCTTTCATTTTCCTTGTCTTTTTATCAGTATATTCTCAAACTATTGAAAAATAGTGTTTTTCTTGTTTTTTGTTATCAGTATACTTTCAGTCTATCGAAAACATCGTTTTTTTTCTTTCTTGTTTTCCAGTTTATTTTGAAAGCCTTTTCTCAATTTACCAGCACCTTCTTAATAATGTCACAAAATGACATGGAATTATTAATATATGTAGTTAAATACATAAGTAAAATAATTATATATATATATATATATATATATATATATATATATATATATATTATTTAAAATTTTGCTATATTTATGGAAGGAAAATTTATGAAACTCTAAATTCTTCACTGCATATTTAAAATGGTTTTATTTACAGACAAATCAACTGATAAAGACAGCAGAATATCTAATGAATAGAATCTAATATATAATTCTCAATATTTGTGTCTTTACTCAAAACCATGAAAAATATATATAAAACAATATCTGTGTGTGTGTGTGTGTGTGTGTATTTGTGTGCGCAAATATTATGTAAAACTATGAAATTAAATCAATTTACTTTTTCATTTGCATTTATATTATTTACAGTCAGACTAATGTTCCTACTGCTATTGTTATTACTAGGTTTTGGCTGTTGTGCCTCAGGCTTTCTTCATTAGTCAAACTGTGTATAATGTAAATGACAATTCCTCACACTAGAGGTTCAGACAGAAACTACCAGCATGTGTCTTATATTCTACCCAACTTAATGGTTCTTGCTTAACAAAAATAACTAATCTGCACATTCTGCTTTAAAAATCAAATTTAAAAAATTTGAATCTGTTTTTTTGTGATCTTTAAAATAAGTTATAATTGCTTATATTTTCTAGCTTGAAATTTGTAACAACCTAGGCATTTAGATCACAGCTTAAGAGTAAATTCAAGTAAGCAATGTTGACATTTTTCATTGTATATTTTGAAAATTTAATATATAATATGCCATATAGGAATGTGTGTGTGTGTGTGTTAAAATATGTTAATAATCCAAGTCTGAAACATCTGAAAGCATAGATCTATTCATAAGACACAGAAATGTGTTAACATTGACGAGCTGTCTTATCACCAGATTTGCAAAATTTCTTTTGTTTTCACACTATGATGCTAACGTATTCTACAAAACCAAGACATCAACCAAAAAATTCAAGTCATGTTCTGAAATAGCTTTGTCAGATTGAGGCATTCATATAGATGCTATACATGGCACCAAACTCGTTGAGAAATATCTAAAATGCTAGATGTATACAACTGCTTCTTAAGATTAATGGGGAAAAAAGGCTGAGTAAAGACTGATGGTCTTGACAAAGATCATCTGTCTCTGAACATTGTGAATTGGAGCGACATGATCACAAAGAACTGTACCAAACATCTGAAGCCAACAGCAGCAACAACTAAAATGGATTGCACATGTAAATCAAAGAGAAAATAATGACATAATCAAGATGTTAACATTCCACACAACTTCAAATTAAAGGTTTGGAAGGAAACCCCCATCAATAATGGAAAGAGTGATAAAAGCTACCAGACATAAGAAACCGGTTTTCCTAAAAAATCATTTTAAGAGAAAAATTTAATAAACTTCAACTAAGAACAGTATTGGTTGCTCGATCAATGAATGCCAACTTATAGGGGAATGGTTAATATTACCATTACCATTGCAAAAGATAACTTGTCTTCCAATAATGTGTTATTACATTAATGACTGCAAACAGGTTAAGCTTCTTTTTAGATAAATTGAGATAGTTGAGTCAAGCAAGAATATAAAATAAATCTTTTTTATTTTTGTAAGTGAGATAATTAAATTGTATCAGCTGTAAATACTGAGAAAATCATTTAAAAAAAAGAAGCTGAGATTTTCTTTGTTAAACTTACACTTCAATCAATGTGGCAGCTTCAAAGGCTTTCATTCTATGATCATATTTTGTAACATCACCTTCATACACTTCGACAGTCAGTTGTATTGGACGAGTTGAATGCATAAGACGAGGAGTTAACCTATGAAGATTCGAAATCAAAGCTGTTCGGTCAATATCAACAAATGCAAGTCGACTCAATTTTTCCATTTGGGAATATTGGTCAATCACACGGCATTCAGATGATCCAAAATCAATGCACTGGAAAAACAAGGAGAGACAAAACCTTTAAATTTTAGCTTTTCACAGAAATTGTAAAATTCATTCTTATACATTTTAACAAGAGTAAAAAAAAAAATAAATTAGATTTCTATGACAGAAATTTCCAACTCATTTCAATATTTATACATTAACTGGATTAATTAAACCATAAGTCACTGAAAAAGGCTGAAGTATAAGTAAAATTCTTTAAGTCAAGGCAGATTGTATTTGAATCAATAATGAACAAGCTTGCTATAAAGAGACATTGAATTCAACATGTGTTATAAAAAGAATTCAGTTTCAGAAATGACACACAATAAGACAAATATTCTAGTTAACTGAAGAGAAAAATTGAAACTTAGATTAAAGAATCTGTCATTTTAAACAGCAAGCTTTCAAACATTATAACTCTGCTTTAAAACAACTTCATTAAGCAAACAACATTGGAATTAAAATATTTTTACCAATGATCTAGTGGTGAATTATTCCATCACAATTTAAATTGGGATCATGGGAAGTGTAAAATTCCTGAAAGGACTTTTCAACATGGCCTGCATACCTGTTGGTATTTTATTTATCTAAAACCTGTAAGTGTAAGCGTAAACGTTCTCAAAGCAAATTTGTCGCAGATTACTCTCCCAACAAACGCCGTAGCCAAAAATGTCCGAATTTTCCTTTCACTACACTCCCCCCTGTCACATAAGTGACACTCATGGGCGGGCCTCTTTATTCTTAAGCTTCTCCGGAGCGGGGCGACTGTTGGAGGAGATTGTGTGTTTATGTTCTGAGGTTTCTTCTGATCTGACAACCTCACGCACAGAGTCTTCACCATCTGAAGAGGTGCTAGCCCTACCTCCAATGGTAATTATTTGTTCACTTTCTGAGCACTCACTGCTTATACACAGCAAGGGCACCGCCATTCAATCGCAGTGGAAGAATCCGTTCAATCTTCGTGATCTCGCATAATTCGCAGACCAGTTCCGCCTTTTCGATCCATTCAACCACAGACTGTCCACTCGTATCACCACTGAATTCGGGGATCAGTTTTATATCGAACGGTCTTTCCACCATCTTGTGAGAGACAAAGTAAACGCCGAAATAGCTTGTAAGCGTTCTCAAAGCAAATTTGGCGCAGATTACTCTCCCAACAAACGCCATAGCCAAAAATGCCTGAATTTTCCTTTCACTACAAAACCTGAAAAAAATCAGTAGACAGTGGGACAGGAACTTGGTATATAACAGCATTGATGCTTCAGTTTCAAATTAAGAAAGTACAACATCAACATGATATTCTGATAAACTTGCAAGAAGCTGTAATGTATAATACTATTAAATGGTCAGAAGGATTAGGGTGGGGGTGAATGGAGGAATGAGCATATTTGTTGACTCAAAGAAAACTATATTTCCTGTTAAAATATAGAAAGCATTTTTCAGCAATTGTAAGTACATGATCAAGAAATAGTTTTTTTTTTTTTTTAAAATGAACAAACTGCAGCAAAATCATAATTTCCTCATTTCTGCATTTTGTTCAATTTGTTGATTTATGTTAAATGTCTTCCAATTGATGTTATGGGCCATGAATGCCTGTGTGTATCTGGATGAGACTTGTGGGTGCCTTCAGTTTTTTCATTCTTAAGTGATGACTTGTAACCATTTTACAAAATCTTTTTTGCTGACCTTGTTTTATTAGCAGTTGCTTGGTTTCTCTTGGTATCTAATTTTTGCTTTCCAATTTTACTTTGTTTTGAAGGAGAAAAAAAATAAATAAAATAAAACAGAGGAGAAACTAAACTTATACAAATGGCCAACAGCACCATACCCACCACCAAGATAAAACAAAAAACACCTTTCTGGCTTTGTCAAAGGACAATAATATGGAGGAACAACTCAACAAATTAGGTTTTTACAAATAAAAAAATATTTCAAAACAAGACCAAAATAAGAAGACCTCAAAATGTGGGAAAGGAAAAATATAAATGATGTCATTTCTTGCGCCACATTACAAAAATAAGACTAAAAAGTTGCAATTACAACTTGCATAAATGTCGCCTTTGGTGACTTCCACTCAATGTCAACTCACTGTTTATAGAATTTATATTTGTAAATGTCAATTATTACTAAGCTTATTATTAAAGTACTTTTACTGGTATTCCCCTATATCTGACTGAGTAAAGTGCAGACACATTAAGGATTCTTCCCTGCTTATTCCACTTATTTTCTTATTAAGAAAATTAATAGACCTGGAGTTATCTTCCTTAAGATGTTTTTGTCAGTTTATATTTAAATAATAGAAAATTACTTGGAAATAAGTCACTTGATTAGATTGGAAATTGCTTTATTCATCAAGTTTTAGAATTTTAATTGTATTGCACTAACAGAAATTCTGCTATGATGTATTGTTTTTGCTGTGTTATCATAATAAACACAAAGAGAAAATGGATCATTGTCAAATAAAAATCATAATGATTATGAATTCACATTGTTTTGATGTTAAAATGTAAATAAGTGAAAGTAAAAAAATATTTTAGTAATGTAAATAATTGAAAATTTTAAAAAGATCAAGAACAAAATCCCACTGCTTGGAAGACAATGTGAGCTGATCCTATAGATCCTCATTGTGAAATGTTTTTTTATTGTGCACAATAATGTATCATTCACAGTTGAAAAATCTCGTGTCCAAAAATATATCTTTCACCAGGAAAAGTTTCTATATCACAGGTCTCAATTATACCTTTTTAAGGCATTGAGAACTCAGTTTCTTAATTACTAATGTTACATAACATAATACTTCTCATTAGTTTATAAATATTCAGAGACCTTATTATAAAAGAGAAGATATTACAATTCTACAAGTCATAATGAGAATTAAAAAATACTTACTTTAGTGATGTTATGTTTGATTAGTATTTCTTTAACAGCAATATATCTTTGTAGATAAAGTGGAACAGCAAAACCAGTAAACTTCTTTTCCATTTCTCTTTCTTCCTGGTTTTTATCTTCAACAGTCTTGCCATTGCCACTGCTGATGGCAGAGCTGCTCATTCCAATCTCCAAGGAATCTGTTAAATCCATTTTTGATCGCCCCAAAATATTCCAGATGACAAATAGTAGATCCCTTCTTAATCAGTTCTCAGAGACTGTTGTTATGAAGAGCAAAATTTCCAAATGTTCATATTGATCCAACTTCTTGGACTTTCAGAATCAACTCTAAGACTTAAAAGAAAAAACATGTTGAAATACCTGGAACCAATCAAAAATAAAACTCAAATTTGTAATCTCATATAAGTTGCTCTTTCTGAAAAACTTATAATTTAAAAGTGAATTAAGAAATAATTCCTCTAAATGGTTCCATGAAAATTTCAATCAAACATTGTTTTTAAAAAAATGATTATATACAAAAATTAATGAAAATTGAAAAAGTTAGAAAATGAAAAATTAATGAACGCAATAATTGATATTTTTGAAAAAAAAATTTATCTTTTCTGAGATATCTGAATTTATCATTGCAACCAGATGTTTGAAGGGTAAGGGTTATTTCATTCATTACTATTTTCACCACAAGAAACACAATTTAAATTATATAAGAAAAATAACACTGTCATTACACTTTTTACATCATGAAATTCTGGACTATCTTTGGCTCAAACATATGATAAATCTATAGCATATCAAACCTGTTATAATGCTTGTATAAGCTTGTAGTTTCTGGTTAATAATATTCTAAGGAAAACATTAGAAAAAAGATTGGCGTAGAAAAGGTTTAATCACATGAGGAACAAGGATTAATAATACTGTAATAGTGAATACTGTAGTTCAGTGCAGCAATGTGTATGTTTGAAATGCTACAACTTGCAACCTACTTGTTCAATTGTTGAGTCTATATTCAACAATTAGTATAGAGAAGGTCAGTCGTCTTTCTATGTAACACCTTCCTTTTTAAGATATGTGAACTATTTAAAACACCTATTCTCTCTCGGATGGACTGTTCCACTTTAATATATTTCTTTTTACTTTCTGTATAAGGTCACTAACCTATTGCAATTTTATGATAATTTATTCACCAAACCAGAACTTTTTCAAGAAAAAAAAATTCTCTACTGATCTGGCTAGTAGTACAGCTGGTAAATAATGGCTATACTGGAGGAAGACCTTTACAAATTTCCTTTTGTCTCTACCAGACGAAGGCTTAGACGACTCAATGAAACTGAAATTGTTAATCAATTACATAAAACCTTCAGTACACAATTACATCGCTGAACCTTCTCACTTACGAAGATGATATGACTGAACTTCAGAAAATTTATGTCAAGTGGAAGAGCAAAGTTTTTGCTCACCATGTCCACTAGAAACCAGAAAATTGACAAGAGTCAGGACCAGTATTTACAAACTCTCTGCCTGATTAGCAAAGACTGCAGATTTAAACCTGTGACAGCAGAGATTAACTGTGATGAATATATCCAGGACTCCTTCATAAACAGGCTACTGTCTACTCATATATGAACAAGACTCCTTGAGAATAGGTCACTAGACTTATACACTGTGTACAAGGCTGTGACCCTAGAAAGTGCTGCTACACAATCCTTATCCTATATGGAACTGCCTACTATAAATGTTTCTATCGATGACCATCCTTTAAATGAGCGACCATGTTGTAACTGTTAGTAGCAAATTCTGCTGCTTCTGTGAACACAAATATCACTCCAGAGCTAAGTGTTCCACGAGGAAGGCTATCTGTATTAAATCCAGTAAAAAGAGGCACTATGCTAAAGCATGTAAATCTAGCCAACTGAGAGCTGCCCTGAAAATGGCTTTGATTACCGGGCCACACATTTATCACAGGTCATTATGGATGCTAGGATTAATAATATTCCAGTCATTGCCTTGATAGACACAAGGAGTACTAAAAGCTTTACAGATTATCATGTCATATGACAATTTGGACTCCCTGTTCTCCTATGGCTGGAATTGTTAGCGTGGATTCTTCATCACTCTCTTTTAAAATTAGAGGCACTTGCTCAGTTGATGTACTGGTGGATAACAAGACTTAATCTAATGTGAAACTGGCCATCTTATATAACTTATGTTGCAATATATTATTGGGCCATGATTTCTTACAATGACACTCTTCTGTATCCATCTCATTTGGAGGACCCTTGCCCAAACTGATTGTGTGTGGTCTTGTTGCCATAGGTATTCAACCTCCTTTCTTGTTTACCAACCTTTCATCTAACTGTAAGCCCACAGCTGTAAAATCCTGGTGCTTTTCAGATACTGATAAAATCTTCATTGCTTTGGAAACAAATTGTTATGAGGAGTCATAGAATCAAGCATGGAGAACTCAAGTTGTGGTCACTTCAGGTGCTAATCATAAATGAAGGATGGCGGTAGACTACTCACAAAGAATAAATCGATAAACATTATTGGACACATGTGATGTAGTACACAAAATGGCAAATATTGCTACTTCAGTAATCCTGGGCTTGAAGAGCGTGTACCACCAAGTACCGATTCAGGATGCCGAGAAAAAGTATACCACCTTCAAAGCTGATGGTTAACTATATCAGTTCTGCTGTATACCTTTTTGACATTACAAACAAAGTCACTTGCTTTTAGAGGATAATATCTTATCTCTCTTCCAAAGGACTTTCTGCTACATTTGCTTATGTAGATAACATAAGAATCTGTGGTAAAATAAAGGAGGAGCACGATATCAACTTAAATAGCACTTTGGCAGCAGACACTGTCACCCTGCTCAGCTATCTGATCAGTCAAGGATCACTTAGACCTGACCTGGAATGTTTATGTCCCCTTAAGAATCTTCTGACCTCTCAAGATAAGGCAGCATTATGGCGAGTAACTAGATTATTTTCTTATTATTCCCAATGAGTTCCAAAATTCTCTGACCAGATTAAATCCTTAATAACAACTACTTTGTTTCTTCTCAACTCTAATTCTGAGAAAGTGTTCAATGACCTTAAAGAGGAGATTGAGAAGACCCTACTGCATTCTATTGATGAAAATCTTCCCTTAATCGTTGAATCTGATGCCTCCAATATTGCTGAAGCTGCTGCACTGAACCAAGCGGGCCAACCTGTTATCTTCTTTTCATGAACCCTCACTCATACTGAACTTAAGCAGTCTGTTGTTGAGAAAGAAGTTTGTGCTATCATAGAAACAGTATGAAAATGGTCTCACCTCTTAACTGGGAGACATTTTACTATCCTTACTGACCAGCAAGCTGTAAACCATATATTTAATTCAAAAGGGACTGGTAAAATGAAGAATGACAAAATCCAACAGTGGGGAATGGAACTGTGGTGTTATGATTATGACATTGTGATAAGAAATTGTGGGAGTTACATCTTTCACATTTGTTACCCTGGTGCAACAAGGTTTGCCCATTTCATAAAAATAAGAAATTTGCTGTATTCCATTGAAAAAATACGAAAAGTATGTTGAGAGTGCCCTGAGTGCACTTGCTTGAAGCCTAGATTTTACTCTCCAGATTCTACCACTAAAGCTACTCAACCAATAGAACGGCTTAGTATAGACTGTAAAGGGCCACTTCCCTCCTCCTCTAGGAACCATTATCTGCTGACTATTGTGGATGAATATTCCCGTTTCCCTATTCGCTTTTACCTGCCCGGAGTTGACCAAATGCTTGGTTATGAAATGTCTGAACCTGATTTTCATGGTGTTTGGGAAACTTTCTTACATTCATTCAAATTGTGAACTCTCATTTCAATCCAGATAGATGAAAGAATACCTGCCTAACCTTGGCATTGTAACTATCTCTACAACTCCCTATAATATATGAGGAAATGGAAAATGTGAGTAGTATAGCAGGGTAATATGGAAAGCTATTACCCTGGCATTAGCTTCCAGTAATCTTGGGATGTCACAGTGGGAAATATTATCTGAAGTACTGCACTCAATCAGATCACTGCTGTGCACTGCCACCAAGACTATTCCAATACCAACACTCATCCCCAGTGGACACTCCTTACCCACCTGGTTAACTATCCCTGGTCCTGTCTTATTGCACCACCATGTCCATAATAGTAAGCATGACCCACTTGTGGATAAAGCAGATTTAATTGAGGCTAATCCCCAGTACGCTCATGTACGATTGGCTGATGGATGAGAAGTGACTGTCTCTGTTTGCAACTTAGTTCTTGTCGGAGAAGATTGGCTCCAAACCCCTTTAACTGAAGTGAATTTAGATTCAGGTTCTAAGGAATGCCTATCTCCTGTCTCTGAGTATCCTGGTGGTTTGGTGCCCATGCCACTGGCTGAGCCTGTGATCAAAACTAGTCACTTTTTGCCTTCTCCTGTGTCTTCAGAGTCTAGAGAGACCCAACCTGAAATAGAACATTCTATCCCTGGACTTGTGTGGCAGTCTGCTCAAGAGCATTGAAAGTCTCTCAGTTACATGGTGTGTGAAACATAAAAAAAATGTTTCTAAAATAAAAGAGGGAAGAATGAACTATTTAAACTTCCTCTTCCATCTCAGATGGATTATCCCACTTTAATATATTTCTTTTTATTTTCTGTATTCTTTGTTAGGTGAATAAAGGTTTTATTAAGGTCACTAGCCTCTTGCAGTTTTACTACAATATGCATTCTCTTTTGAATACATAGTTACTTCTTTTGGAGTTCATTTCCAACACTTCTCATGGATTTCTTTTTCTTTTACTAACACAGTGTGCTTGAGTATTTATAATTGGAGTTGCCATGTCCCAAGTATTGTACAGCACTTCTTTAGGTAAATTTCTTTGTTGGATTTTTATTTCCTTGGCATATCTTGGTTTTAATTGGATTAAATGTTTTTTATGGCACCAATTTCAACCTTGTATCATATACATCATCCTGCCAATAAAATTTACTATCTTCCCAACTTTCCTACTTTGTATATCCAGAAGTAAACCTTATCTCCATGTCTTAGTGGCACTTGAGACATTACATGCAATTTCACCTTGAAAACATAATTTTTTTTCCCCTACAAGATGTCACATGCAACTTTTTGGGTTTTTGTTAATGTAGGTAAACCGATATTTTTTCAAGTTTTTCATTAATTATGGTCATAGCCTGTGTCTAGTTGAAGGTTTATGTTAACATCATTCATCCTAAACTTTACAAATTTTCTGTTCTAGGCTTCGTTTAGATTTTGAGTTGTCAATACAACTTTAACTATTAAAATGTTTTGTATTTTGATTTGCAATTACAGTGTCTATCACTGTCTTCCCCGTTGAAAACATTTTATTTTTGAACAAGCAATCCACCTTAAAATAAAGTTCTCTGCAACCATAACACAAATTCAATGCAGTTATTTTTTTCTTTTCTTTTTTGCCTTTTGGTCCCACTGACCACACTTGTATAATATCCTTTTCTTCAATTTTTACAGTATTGTGAATTAAATTTAGAGTTCTTTAACATTTTTCTGCCATTGTCTGTAAGGTTAATTTTGAGTCCTGCTCAATTTTGGTTAGAATGTGCAAAATATTTCTGCATTTTTACTCAAAGTTGCACAAAAATGAAACATTTAAACATATCTGGAAATAGTTTGTTCAGTTTAAATTTTTCATATTCATGATTGACAATACAAGGACAAGTGACAAAAACTTTTCATTTTTTTGTGAGATTTAAGCATTGCTAACATGTATGAAAGAGGAAGCTTCTTTCAATGTAAATTTTAGACAAAATTAAGTTTCATTAAATGTAATATTTCATAGTTTTTTTTTAGGTAAAATATAATTACAATATTTTTCAAACATCCCTGTCTGATGTTTCAACATTTGTAGTGTTTGCCACTTTTTCAATAACTGTTTTACCCTGATTTTTTAGTTGTCCATATTGTGTGTTTCTCAAATCCATGGTTGACATGAATTCAAAAATCCTTACAGCATCAGAATTATTATTTTTTTCAAATGTGAGTTTTGAATCCTCGCCACCACTGTTATAATGCTCATATAAGTTTGTAGTTTCTGGTTAATAATATTATAAGGAAAACACTGGAACAAAAGATTAATGAAGAAACTGTTTAATCACATGGATTAACAATACATTAATAATGAATACTGTAGTTATTGTGTCAATGTGTATGACTCAAATTTCCACTTTGTGACCACTGTTTCTATGAGCAGATGTTCCACTCATAGTCTATGAATGAATCTATGTTCAATAATTAGTGTATAGAAAGTCAGTCATCTTTCTACATAACAAAATCATTGCTTCATCCTGTTTTGAAAGCAAACAGACCATTTAAAAAAATGAATGGTTAGAATTTTTAGGCTACTATATAAACATATAAATAATATAAAAGTTTGAATAATCAACTGGCAGCAACAATAAATATATATAAAATTTTTCTTACAACTGTACTGGATTCATCTGAGATGATTGTTTTGTGGCTATTATTAAACTCCTTTTAGTAAGCAAGTCTCAAAAGAAAAAAAAACTTTTGGATTTGTATTACAACTGAAAAAATTTAGTTTATCCCAACTTTTCTCTAATAGACTTTGCAAAAAATGTATCATTAGACAATTTGCTTTGTTTTATTTGAAAGCTAAGATAAGATCCAAGCAAAATATGGGAAACTTGTGACATCCTCTGAAGAAGATGATCCATGAAATAATAATGAGAGTGCGTCAAGAAGACCCTGCAAGAGGAGGCTGGTGTGTGAGTGGCCAGGAAATGACAGTTGGGTTGATGCAAGTTCTCTGGCCATTGGTGTGGTATTGGACATGAATGGAGACATTGTGGAGGACACATGCTGGCTTTGTCACAACGGTAACAATCAACATAACAACCTAGCCAAGCTTGATGCAGTGTTAAAGGGCATAAACCTAGCCCTACAGTGGAAGGTGAAAGTGTTGTATTTGGCCACTGATTCTGCATGTACTCACTACTGGATACTTTGACTGGAAAGGCATGCCTGAAAACTAAGGCAGTCTGTGAGATGCTTATGTGGAGACAACTGAGGATACTTCGGGTGCTAATTGCAGAGTATGGCCTTACCTTAGAAATAATGGAAATACATCAGCATAGCAGTCACCCTGGTGTTAAGCACATGACTTACTTTGTCAGACAATTTGATCCCTCTATACCTAGCAAAGCTGTTAAGACAGTGGCTGAGAGGTGTCCTGAATGCCAATCCATTGATCTGGTACTGGTGCACTGGAAGAATGGAAAATTAGAGGTTTGCAGTATGTAGTTCAGGCTGAGGATGGATATTATGCATTATGACCATGATTGACTGCAGGCCTATATATGTCTCTGTTTGGCAACTCATAGTACGATAAGATTCTGAGCATGTTATTCGGCAGTTGGAGTTGATATTTGTGAGAGTCATATGAAATCCTCACCAATAAAGATACTGCACTCACCAGCAGGTCACTCAAGGCTTTCATGGAGGAATGGGGTGCTCAGCTGCACTTTCAGTGCATGCATGTACCAACTGGAAACAGGAAAATAGAAAGGTGCCATAGAAGCATAAAGCAGATTGCACCATTTACTGGTATAATATGATGCAGAAAGATGACACGTTTAGCACCAGCTAACAAAATTCATACTTATAAGGTCAGGCTCAAGGGTATCTGCACATTGTATCTTCACTTTCACCATTAACAGCATGGGACATATGAAGTTGGAGATGTGGTGTGGGTGAGACCACCCCCAGAACCAATATACTGCCAAATTTATAACTGGTAAGCTCACTAGGATCAGAAATCCACAATCTGTCCTGATTGACCATCATAGGACCAATGCTCCACTGCAAGTGATGCTGATGACTCATCCATAAATGATGGAGAGTTAGAAGATTCCCGAATGTTTGACACACCTCCTGCTGTTGTGGAGTCAACAACAAGAATGAAGTAGCTCCAGTGTGAAGGAACACCAGTTGCTGTGATCAGGAGATCAAGGTTAACAGAGAGATGGGTCAACCTGACAAGAGACCTAGAGTTGGTTGCGTGTGGTGTAGTAAGATGTTGAGATGTCCAATGCTACAACCCAGGCTTCACTGTTTTTATCTAGAGCACGATAGACTCTTTCTACAATTATCATTAGGAAACATATTTTTAAAAAAGATTAATAGATTTATATTTTTTAAGAAGGGAATTTCTCCGTAACAAAAAAAACAAACAAAATCATTGAATTATGATACAGCTACATCAAAAGCAAAGCAGAATGTAATAATTTTTTTTATAGAAGAATAAAGATAAAAAGAAGAAAAATAATGAAAAAATGAAAGTTGATGTGTGCTTTAATATACATAAAAAGGAAATAGCTTCTATTTTTTATGAAACTTTTCTCATCTGAAAAGTTAAAAATAGTTAATTTAAAGCTAAAACAACTCACAAAGGAGTTGAGAGAATAGGAAAAATTGAAACAATTAACTATAAAAAGTGTAACATTAACAGTCATTATTACACTCCACCAAGGTAGGTGGAACCATAAAAAATTGTTCATTTGCCTCAGAATTTTTACTTTTTGGGAAGCTGACATCAACAATACAGGGAAAGATGTATGAAGACTGAAACCCCTGATACTGAATTCTGGTTAATTTCTGCCTGAGGCAAAATTTCTATATTTTTATGTGATTTATCATTTATTTAAATCTTTTATTATTATTTTTAAACTAGATTGGGAAAATTATTTATTAATTAAACTGAATAATTTATTTTCCAGTTTTTACATACAACATCTGCCATCTTCCCATCAAGCTTAAGAAATGTTCAATCTTCTTTTATGCCTAAATTTCTTCAGTCTTAAAATATCTGACACAATGTCATTTTTATTGTTTCTGTAATAATTTGATAAAAAAAACTTACGTGAATACAAATAATTTTTCACTGTTATGGTTCGTTTTCTACACACAAATGTTTACTTGTCATTATTCATAGTAACAAAAGCCAAAGTTCAATAATATACATTTTTGTACGTAGAATTATCGTTTTAATGGTCTTTACTCTTTAACCATTAATAGTTGATAAAGTAAAAGAAAAGGTCAGTCTCGTTCAAGCATGTCTACTTGTTAAAATTTCTTTTGAATTTGATTAACATAAAAACTCCCCGCCACCCGCGTCTTTATCGTTCAGACATTGGGGAAAAAAAACTAAAATTTAACAATAACATTCAGCCACCAAAAATATAGGAAATTTCGATATTCAACTACAAATATACGAGTTGGTATTTTTTGCATCTTCTATCAAGTTATTGTTACCGAGTTAATTCTTTTTTCCTACTTTCTGATTCTTAACAAGTTCCAACTGTAAATTACAGTAAATATCTGTACGTGTAAAAAAACTGTAAACGATTTTTGATTCTTTACTTTTTTAGCAGTTACTCGAATATAATTACTACACATTTATCAGATTACTTTTTTTAATATCATAAATAAAATGAAGTGAAAAATTAAAATATAGTGGGGGAGAAATTAAATGTGAAAAAAAGAACAATTCTTCAAAATGTTATTTAGTTTCAATTTCATTTTCTCGCACTGACAAAAAATGGCACGTTATTAATGACATCGTATAGAGAATAATTAAATTTGAAAAACAAAATACTGATAAATAATAGAAAACAAAACGAATATAATAAATGAATACATAAAAATAATTATTTTTACCTGTGGTTATTCATTTTGAAAGACATCGTCACTCAGCGATTACAATCAACACGTGAGAACTTGTGAATGTCATGATTCTACCTGAACATTGTATATTTTATCAAACTTTTCCAATAAATGTTACTGGTGATTGATTTCTGTGCATTTTAGAAAAATATCGATTAAAAATCAAAAAGTTTGCAATATATTTCACAAAAACTACTATTCATTTCTTCACTTCGAGCTGTGAATACGGCTTTTCCATTCATGTTTGTTAAAAATCGGTGAGTGAGGTAATAAGTTCCTTGCGTAAAAATAAGCTATCATAGAAATTACTAACTTGAGATATTGTCAACTTTAGCGTTTCAAACAATGTTTAGTTTACACTTACTTTCTTTAAATTAGAGTAGACATACATTTCTTGAACGGGATTGATATTATGATCCTTCCTTTCCATTTTATTTCAACTATTTTTGTCAAAAGTAAAAAAAGATAAAATTTAAAAATAAAATTCAACTTAAAAAAATTTAACACGGCCAGTAAGTCTCAGAATTTGATAAACAAAAATAAATAAAATTAAAGGAAATCGGACCTATTTTTACATCAGAAATAAAAGAAAACAAAGCAAAAAAAAAGGCTAGAGAGTTAATAAATCAATGTTTGTTCAGTCATGTAAAAGAGAAAATCGTTTGAATCGCTAACAAAAAACAACAAAAACAAAAAAGCAAAACGAGTATATCCAAATCTTTTGAAAGAACAACGAACAATGAAGAGAAGAGGGCCAAGAAGACGATTTATCGGAATTTACCATATTTTAGCCGCGCCATTAGCAACGGTGTTGTATTGGACTGTTGTTGAGTGTTGATTATAAAAAAGATAGGGGAGAGAAGAAAAAACTGAAAGAAAACATAATTAACATTAAAGTACGTATTTTCAAGTCGAAACAAAAGCAAGCGTTTAATTTTAGTTTTAAATTTATCATCAAATTATAAATTTTATTTTAAAAACTATTTTATTTTTATAATTTTATATTTTGATTCCAATAGCAAGTGTTTCCCCCCACAGCAAATCAATTGATCTCATGACGTAGAAGAGGCAACTAACATCAGAAATACGTTTATGTGGAATTAAAAAGAATTCAGGCTATAAAAATTGTCAGAGTTTTGTTTTTGATTGAAGAAAATAAAGTTCTTCTTAAACATTGTTTTGTTTTTAGACCAAAATTATTTTCTTCGTACAGAAGAGTTACTTCCGGTTTTATTAGAATTTTTTTTTTTTTTTTGAGTGTTGCAGATATCTTTTTTTAAAAACCAAAACATGATTAATTTTCCATCTGCACTTACTGAAGAAGAAGAATTTCTAAAACAGAAATATGCCAAACTTAGAAAAAAGGTAATTATCGTTTTTAATTAAATATATGTATTATTCTTTTATGTTAAAAAAATATGTTTTGGTTATTTTTCTTGGGTAAAAAACCGCTTATACCGCGTTGTTATGTTATTTCTTTGAGAAGTAGTTGACTTGATATTAAAAAGAAAAAAAATCTTGTTTTAAGCCCAGACTACAGTTGAAATATAAATTACCTTTTAAAAAAATGCATTTGACAACCAAAGAAAGATGTATCCATGTGTTATTTGCGCAGACATATACCTGTATGATTGATTGCATATTATTATTAGAAAAAAATGGTCAAACAAATTGTACTCCCTGATCAGTACCGAATATGAAAAAGAGATCTGAAAAAAAAAAAAAAAAAATGAAGTAATGATCTCTTATAATAATTCTTCGAAATTCTGTTCTGACAATGGATGGTTTAATTTTGCAGAAGCTTTTAAAATCTTTATCCGAAGTTAGTCACGATGAGTTATTGGCAATTTGATTTCAGTTGCACAAATTAAGAAATCATGACGAAACAATTACCCAGTATAAAAAGAATTAAAAAGGGATTACTTGAAAACGTTTACCAGGTATAAAACCGGGACTAAAAATATTTACAATACATTATGTGGGCAAATGTCGAAATTCACGTGGTTACACGCTGGATGTTAGAATTTATTTTTTAGTGACTGGTGAACAGGGCATTAGAAGCACTGACCTTTTTGACATTTAATATTAAAGTTTATGATTCCTAATTGGTTAATAAAGAACGATATATCCGAAATTAGACAATCTTTTGTTTTTTTATGTCAATACAATAGGAAGTTACTCTTCTTGGTAAATTTATCAAATATTTATGAGGATAGGAAAATTCAACTGAATGACATGTTTTTATTTTTTTTTTTCACATACCTCCTCCTCCTCCTAATTATTGTCATCATTATTACTATTATAATATTGAATGGGAGATTGAAGCAGGCCATCAAATTAATGCTGTAGCATTGCAGCTCAGTCAGATACCAAGTTCGTTCTCTTCCAGTCAAACACCTGTGGCTTAAAAATAATTCTTTAGTCAGATTGTCACCCACAAAATAAAACTATGAACCGATTGTAGCAGTAAGGAAATTTTTATTCTGGTTGATACCTACTGCTGTAGACGAGCGAGTCAGAGATGAAGCGTAGGTGAGGAGAGGTGAACAGTTTAGTGTTGTGGCAAGGCAGTCTCTTGCTTCTCTGTGAGTCCCATTGTATCTCTTTGATAGTGACCACTGTCTTATAGAGAACATTGGTTTTTGTCGTCATCTTTGTTTTAAAAAGTAATTTATCAAGATCTGGCTTTATTCAGTGACCTTTGTAAGATTTGCTTCCCATGGTTCTTGTGAAGTCCACTTCACTCAGCTGATAATCATCAAGATGATAAATGCCCGAAAGAATTTTTGTGACAGATGTTTCTATTTAACAAGATATCAGCTGACATTGATGTCTCTACAATGATAGAGTACTCTTATTTGAAGCCCAATATAGTCTTCTTGACTGATACGGGTATACCAGGCACATGCATCACAGCTAAATATGCACAATGTAGCGGTAGGGTCTGATGAAAGTAGTGCATAACCTTTCAGGTGGGACCCAGTAAAAATACTTTCAGGACAGGTAACTCATTCCACTCAGATGGTTTCCTATTGAGGATGTTCCCAAGTACCTAGATATTTCCCAACTCACTTTGGCTACCTCATCCTTCAAACATAAGAAAACAACTCTCTTGACACACCCAGTCATAATGCTCCCAAAACTACTCCTGCTCATGAACGGAGATGTACAGTATGTCAACTCTTAACGGACATGTCCAATTGGTTAAGTCAGGCAACTGACAAGCAAAACTGTAGTACTGAATGAGATATTTACTCTATCCATTTTAGTTTCCCATGACAAAACATTTACATATTAACACCTCCAATGATATTATTATTATAATTTTCTGTTACCAATTCTTTTACTTTTAGATGAGACAGGAGATTTTATTTTTTCTTAGAAAGTTATTGAGCCTATTATATTGAGAAACTTTTTCTAAGTATGTAGATGGTGCTCACAAGCACACTCCTTTGTATATCAGATAATGAGTTTTCTCGGATTATCTTTGATTATTTTCTTTTTTTGTTTGAGAAAATTTTGGATTTTTATTGGAATATTTAAAAGACAAACCTAAGTAAGCCTGGTTTATTTATCATGTAGCTCCAATATTTATTTATGCTCAGTGCTGAAAACCTGCATTGCCCATTTGAATAGCTTGTGGAACATGTTTACATATTTTGGATTGTGATAAACAATGAGGTGTTAGAAACTTTTGCACAAAATTAATATGTATCTTGTAAATCTACTAAGTAGCCTTTCATTTTATTGACATAAAATTAAATATTGCTCTGAACTGTTAGGATCTTTCATGCAGTGTCAGTAAGCCTAATTAAAATCCAGAATGGTTATATATCTACTGTTGCTAATTTAACACAGATTTGTGTGAATAGAAATTAAAATAATATGAACTACACTTCATATACAAACATTTAGATAAAAAAGTGAAATTTTAAACTTTATATTTTCAAGTAAATACTTTTAAAACTCTCACACATAACTGGCAGTATTTGCTTTTTGCTAATGCAGAATTTGTCTGAGATGAAAACCTGTTAACCCTCATGATAATATATTTTTAAAACACTTATTTTTGTTGTGAACTTGATTTGCAAATATTTTACAAACGATATTTAGTTTATTTTCATTGCGTTCAAATGGTACACAAAGTAAATAGTAATTAATTTCAGTTCTATTTCTGCACTGATTTCTTATTTTGCACTCTTTTTAAAGCTTTTATCTCCATCATATGTACTAAATAAAAGGTTAGTTTGATTGAAGGAAGATCTGAGTTCAGTCCTATTATCTGTGTCTTTTGCTTTCAGAAAAAGGCTTTGCAAGCCATGAGGGTAGCTAAGCCTGAAAGTCAAGCATCAAACACTCCTCCAGCCAAACGACGTAAGTACAATCACATGTTTTGTGACAATCTCATTTCACATGTATCACTTGTCTTTTTCTGTCTGCACAGATTTCTAGGTTTTTAATTCAAATGAAACCCAAAATATCACTGATTAATTATTTCAATTTTAACTTTTATTTTCACACTGACCAGATGCATTGTAAATTTTTGTTTAAGTTTCATGAAATTATGAACTGAACTGACAAATTTTCTAATTTAAAGTTTAAAATATTAGTTTTGTCTGATTTAAGATTATTCCAGTTTGCAGTAACCTTCATGTATCATATTGCCAAGTTAGCATTCATATTGAAGGAGATAAGTTGGAATTCTTACACCATTTTGATGATAATAAAAGATGTGAAATAAGATGAGATATGAAACCAAAAAAATTTATTTGTCTGCTGAAATTTGAGAACAATACAAGATTGAAATGATGAAGCCAAGGTAGAATACCATTCTTCTCTAATTACACTTACTAAACTTTAACAAGATAGACATCAGCATCATTTGCTATTATCAGCAAAGTCTGATTTTCAGACTGGGTTTGTGTGAAAGACAACAAAACAGCTATACATTCTATGCTGGCTAAACAAGCCACAAAAAGAGATATTCCTCTGGAGTACGCTTCATGGTGAGAAGCACTATTATCTCTAAGATTACTAACATAAGCCACCAGCCACTCTAACTGCAGCATCAGTATGTACCTTCTAAATAAATAATGAATAAAATGCATGCCATTTAGCAAGTATGTTCTGACCCTCAAGGCAGACTTAGTGGAGAAACTTCTATTTTGACCTGCACTGCCTTCTAAATAATGTCTTATTAACAGCCATTGTTCTTATTAACTTCAACACTAGAATAGATCAGATAGCCTGTCGTCTGGGGCTTTAGAATATACCAACTGCACCTCTGCAGAGGGGTAAAACCCTACCCAATGAGGTGTCTTGGGTATGATGATAAACTACATCTGGCAACAAAGCCTCTAATCAGGAGGTTTTGAGAAGTGTGGAACCACCTCTTAATTGCTGTAGTTCCCAGGTCCATGCTGACCTGGGCTGATAGCACCTGTAGGGTCCCAGGTATGGGCAAATAGTTAACCCCTAAACTGGGATCAAAACACTATGAAATTGTAAAAATAGGTCTTTATAGTAGAAATACCAGCAATACATTTTGGGAAAAAAAATTATTACCAGCAAAAAAATACTGACAACACATTTGACTCTTGACAAAAATCTTCTTTCCAAAAATACATCAATAAAACCTGATTTAAAAACTGGTATCTTACTAAGAATACACATTCTGTTCATACAAATCTATTGTAAAAATCTTGTTGGCATTAAATAACCCACTGAGGTTGATATGCTGTAAAACAAAATAAACCAAACTAGAATAGGTCAGGCCAATAGTACATGGAAATATATCCATGGAAAACATGTGGAAAAGCTAAATGGTAATGAACCATTCTTCCTTGAATTCTACGTGAAACAAGAACTATCTACACAGTATTTCAGCAAAAAGATAGGCTAAAGATCATTTGAACACATCCTTGTTCTAAACACTGGCACCTCCTAGACAATAATCTTGTACAGCAGAAAGACTTAAGACAATGTCACATGTATCTGCTGCAGACTCAGTTTTTATTTCAAGTCAAATCCAGTTTCAGCAGACTTCCAAATGAAGCTGGAATCCTAATTGGAGGCCATCAGGGGTATAATTAACACCTGCCTTTATGCCCTTGAGGATTGCAAGCAATGTGCTATCTTAGAAACATCCATACAAATGCCAGGCTTATCAAGAATGACCAGGGACTACTTATAGCTGCGTGTGTGTGTGTGTGTATATATGTATATAACACAACTATCCTACAAGAAGAAAATAATAAATTCAAGCAATTTATATTAAAGAATTAAAGCCGGCACTGAACAGAATTAACTATGAATACTGCAGTAATGTTCTGAAATTCCTATAAAGGAACAGTTTTTCATGCTTTACTGCATGCATGACCATGACATAACATAGAGGAAAAAATTCTGTAGTGGATAATTTTTCACATTCTAACGAATGCTCAGCACATTGTCAACTGTTTGCATTTAAAAGCACAATGAAAAATTATGGTAATGGATAGCAATGCACAGCTTTGTATAAATACTTGTACCCCTGAACAACATATAGTTTTGTACTACTTGCACCCCTGAAGATGATCTTGGAAGAAGATCAAAAGTACTTGGGAAATGAAAATAAAAGAAATTTAAACAGCTATAGCACATTTCTCTCATCGTTTAATATCAATACATGGAAGGTTATTCGTGAGTATGAATGGATTTTGTTAAAAATTAGCAGACATAATGTCTGTAATTTATTCAATCAGACATGCCTAAAAGAGAATTTGCTACTTAAATACACAAATTTTAATATATAGGCTCACCTATCATTTGGCCCAAATTCCTTCCATATCTATTGAACAGGAGTAGAAGTTTATCCCTTGTTTCCTGTTCAAGAAATGGTTTCACATGGGCCACAGTGATTTAACTGTTTTAATGTTTTAACGTTTTGATGATTGGACTAACTAGTGGCTGTGACTGTTTGCTGGCTGCTGCTTCTGACTGGTCTTTATGAGCCCAAACTTTTTCGTAGTGCTTAGAGAGGCTGCTCTCATCAAGTCACATAACATTGTAGTATTTGTAGGGCCATGTTGCACATAGGTATGTGTACCTGCATGTATTTTTGGTGGGCAACCCTGAGGCCACATTATGCTCTGTTCTCAGCTATGTCCTGGCTGATTTGTATTACCACTGATGACAGTGACAATTACGGAGGTCTTTTAACTCACTCCGCAAAATGAATTTCATGGAAATCACAACAAAAAGAATTTAAACTAAACCAGTAAACAAAAAATCACCTACTCCTCTCAGCCTTTTTTTCACTAATATTTGTGGTATCCATTCCAACTTTTGCAACATAAAATCATTCCTCTTGAAATGGTTGTCAGATATCTTTGTCCTCTGTGAAACTAACTAAAATTCTTCCATTGCTACCAATAAATTCTTGGTTGCAGGCTATCTTCCCCTTTGCTGAAAAGATTCCAGCATTGAGATGCATGGCCTTGGTGTTTACATTTGGCATAATCTTCTGTGAAATGAAAGTTATTCTAAATGGCCACTTGTCTAGATCCTTTCATACTAACGCAGGTGTCCCACCAGAGCTCCGTCAAGTTGAATTGATGAAAATTACTGAGGTATCAATGTTCAATTGCAGGCAAAAGAATATGACTAAAATTAGTAATTCAAATTGCTAAGGATTGTCTCCTCAGAGATGGATCTCAAGGTCAGTGTGTACATTAGCATGCCCAAAAGCTTCAGCCTGCTCAACTTGAAATTCCTCCAAGTTTAAACTGACACCTTTGGACAATTAGTTAAAGATTTTCTGTTGGCAGATGATGTGTACCTGGTTCTTCACTTAAAAAGCAGTCTTCAGCAAATAATGTTCCTTTGCAAACATCACAGCATTCTTTGGTGGTGTGTGATGGTCAATGACATTCTCTGTTGACATGCACCTTCTGTCTATTGATCTGACTAAGCTGGAAGTAGTCCAGGATTCAGCTTATTTAGGTATAGTGGTAATAATAGTAAAATAGCTTTTAGAAGGCTTTTGTAAAAATGCTTACATTTTCACTTTTATGTGATTTTTTTTAAATGTACTATTTTCTAATGTGTAAAAATAAAAAAAAAAAACAATAGAATTATTTTTATACTGGAGTTGTAACAAAAACAGGACACTGTGGAGAATCATGATCCCAAACATCCTGAATGGGCATGACACATTGAAAGAGAACATTTATTGATTGTGAAAAATAGTGAATCACTTGATGGGATTTATTATTGTGTTTTTCAGCTTTAGAATCTTCTGCAGATGCTTTGGAACATGCAAAACAGCTTCTAAAATCTGGAGTAAGTTCTACATCCTTTTTCATTACGTCTATAAATGTTTAATACTTAAATTTTGTAGATATTTTCATTAGAACTTTGTGGTTGCTTGTTTTATTTTAATGTTATTTTATTATTAAAATAATAAATTAGAAATTTCTTCTCTCTAAAACACTTTGTAGATATTTACTAAACACAAGGATTCAAGTGTAGGGCACCTAGTGAGGATCAAAATAGTTATGGTTGTAATGGTTTACTGGGCTACATAGTGATTCAACAATATTTTATTTATAATGTAAACTGAGTTTAGAGAGGGTTTGATTTTCATGTTAATGACAATGCAAAACGGAATATTTACCCATATGGATATTGTTATGTCAATGTAGTATTATGCTGGAATAGACATTGCACTGAAACTTCACATCAGTCATCCTAAGGAAGCCATGTTGACTTACTGTTACTTCTGGCCACCACATGCAGAGATATGTGACTTCACGCCTGTATCTGCTATTGCAAGTGTGAGAATGAGAATGTTGGACAGATGGATATATAAACAACATCTCCAGAGATGATTGGGCATTTCTCTCACTCATGGGGTAGGTGGAGAATGTAAGGTCCATATTTTGATGGGGAAATAGGGCTCATATCATAGATTGGCCAAGAGTAATTGACAAATTATTGAAATGAATAAAATGTTAAGTAATGAAGATAAAAATCTTTTGCACTTATTAGTAACAGCACAACCTACTTCATTACACCAAAAAAAATTGTTTGATTTTATTCTAAATTTATATTTATTTTAATTATTTTATTGCATTTTTCTTCTATTTTGTAAATAATCAATGTTTGTGGATTCACTTATTAAGAATAAAGACACTTATGCTTAGAATCAGAAAGAGACAATTGAAATTTCTATGGTGCATGAGGAAAGGGGGCTTGGAGAATTTAACATTCACAGAACATACTGAAGGCATTAGAGACAGGCAAACAGCAAATAACCTACCTAATGAGCTTGTGTGATGTTGGCAGAACAGAGATTAGATGAGATAGCAAAAATACTAACTTTTCTAAGCGCTCTAGAGGACAGGAAGTTGTGGAGAGCCATGTCCTGAAGGGATATAGCACATAGAAGATGTATAAATTGGTCCTGCTTTGCTTTATGCATTCTGCTTTAGTTATATTGTGTTTGTTTCTACTTTTTTCTTTTTACCAACTTCATAAGTCTATTTTGGTTGTTGGTTTTTAAGGTTGGCTCTTTTAGTAGGTTGTCCTTTTTTTTTTTTTGTTGTTAAAAAGGAAAAAGTTCAGTGTCATTAGTTTGCTCTCATAGACTTTATTATCTTTTAGAAATTCTAACTTAATTCTGAATAAATTCAGATTTTGCTCCTGAAAAAAAATGCTTTTTTGATGTGAAAAATTATTTTTATCAAAGGTGTGTTGTGTCAGTGGAGAAAATGTGTGTTCTCTTTAGCTTCTTCAATTTGATAATGAAAGTAAGACAAAAACCTTGTGAAGAAAAATGTCTTGGGATCTTGGGTCTTGGGCATCATTGATTTATTGCCCCAGCTTATCACCTCATGATTTAGGCTTGAAGAGAGTCTGTTTTTAGATCAGTTTTTAGTATTATTATTATTATTTTATTTTTTTTTTTTTTTATTCATTCATTCATATATATATATATATATATATATATATATATATATATATATATATATATATAGAGAGAAGAGAGAAACCACAAACGTTTTTGGTTATAATGTGGATTTTTTTAAAAATATATATTATACTTTATTTACCATATAGAAAATACACTTTTCTCTCAGAACAGCCATAACCTCTCCCTTATATATATATATATATATATATATATATACACACACACACACACAATCCCAAAATACTTTTACAAACTTTGGGGGCAGGTTCCTGATACCAAAATAAGGTAAAATGTCCATATAAACATACAGTGACATACGAATAGCTTAACATATGAGTTTTTTGAGATGCGAGTAGTGGCTTGGGCCATTTATTTTTTTTGGGACTGACATGCAAGTTAATTTCTGAGATATGAGTTGTGCTTTAGGAAGCTGCTGCTTGTTCTTTCTCGTGTGTTACCCATACAGTGAAAACGTATCTCATTCGTTGTCCATGTTTGTGCATCATTTTTACAGTTTCTAATTACATTAAAGGGATTTTTATTGTGGACCATCATGAGTTGAAAGAAAGTGTAAAGAACATTGGTGAGAAGAAGAAGAGAATAATGTCAATAGAAATAAAGCAAGAAATAAAAATAAAAAGAAAACATGAATGTTTTGTATGAGTGATTGAACTTGTAAGGCAGTATGAGTGCAGTTCATCTACAATTTGTATCACCCTTAAACAAATGGATGCTATAAAAAGTGCAACAACAATGAAAAGAACTACAATTCTGTCCCAGTTAAGGACAAATATCCATGAAGAAATGGAGAAGCTTCTGCTAGTGTGGGTGAAGGAGAAAGAGCTCGCAGGAGATACATTGCCGAAGACTGTGATATATGAATTGGCGTATGTTATTTATAGCCACTTGAAGGAGAAAGTACCATCAACATCAAAAGAAGAAGCAGAAGATACCTTTAAGACAAGTCATGGCTGGTTTGAAAATTTTAAGAAGAGAACTGACATCCACTCGGTAGTGCAGCATGGTGACTGTAAAATAAAGCCACTACTAGTGTACTATTCTGATAATCCTTGAGCCTTTAAGACTCAGAAGATTCTTAAAGGAAAACTGCAGGTTATGTGGTGCTCCAATCCTAGGGCATGGTTTATATGGCAGTTTTTTTTTGCTGAATGGGTAAATATAGTCTTTGATCCTGCAGTGAAGAAATATCCTTTAGAAAATAAACTCCTACTGAAAGCATTACTAGTCCTTGATAATGCTCCAGCCACTGGTCTTCAAGATGACATCCTCGATGAGTTCAAGTTTGTAAAAGTCCTCTACCTCCCACCCAACATGACTTCAATTTTACAACGTATGGATCAACAGACCATTTTCAACTTTAAAAAACTTTACACAAAGCACTTGTTTCGCCACTGCTTTGAGGTTACAGAAAATACCAATCTTACCCTTTGCAAGTTTTGGAAAGGTCATTTCAACATTGTGATATGCTTGAACATCATTGACTTGTCATGGCAAGAGGTTACAAGAAGAACATTGAACTCAGCATGGAAAAAGTTATGACCTGATGCTGTTGCACCCAAGGACTTTGAAGGATTCAAACTTGCACCCGAACCTGAGGCAGAAATGGTGGAGGAGATTGTGTCTCTTGGAAAGTCGATGAGTCTAGAGGTAGATGAGGGTGACATAAACAAACTCATCGAGAAATGTGAGGAGGGACTCTCAACTGAAGAGTTGAAGGAACTACAGAAGATGCAGTATACGAAGGTTCTGCAAGAGATCAATAGTAAGTAGGTGGTAGAGGTGGAGGTAGTGATTTCTCCAAGTGAAATTAAAGAAATGCTAGCAATGTGGGAGAAGCTTTCAAGTTTCATTGAAAAGAAACATCCAGAAAAAGCTTCAACTGGTCATGCTGCAGCACTTTATAATGACACTTGTTTGTTGCATTTCCGTTACATTTTAAAAAGCTGGCAAAAAGCAAACCTCTTTGGATAGGTTTTTATCCAAAATGTCTGCAAGTGAAAGTGCCAAAAGTCCAGCCAAAAAGGCAAAGACAAATGATGATTTAATGAGAAATTTATACAAACGTAATGTTAAGTTTAGGTTTAGTTTAAGAAAGTGTAATTTTAGTTCATTTAATGTTAAGAAAATGAAGTTTTAGTTTGTTTATTATTAAGAAACTGAAGTTTTTGTTTAGGTGTCTACAGTCTACATCATCTCCTCTCTCCCTCCTCCTCTGCCATTAATTTCCGTTAACCGCATACGCCTGTCTCTAAGGTAAGAATACAGTACTGAATAACACTTTATTTCATATTTATGTTAAGCATTGGTAAAGTATACATATGTCTTTTAATTAAAAATATGTCTTTTTCATAATTTAGGATGGTTTGGAGATGTTTTACAGGGTTGGAATAGATTAAATCTATTTCAATTATTTTAAATGGGAAAATTTTTTTTATCTTCTTATATGTGTATTTGGCACTTTTTAATAGTATTATTCCTTGGTCTAATTCAACTCTGACCATTAACTTTATTATTAATATTATTTTATACATATATATGCACACACACACTCACACATCTGTGTGCCAACATATACATCCATCTAGACGTATACATGTGTCAGGGCCTTTAATTATGAAGTTAATAGTTTCTTATGCATTTTATATTTTTACAAAAATACTAACTTTTAATTGTTTTCACCTTTCTTCTTTTTCATTGAGAAAATTTAAGAAATTGAATGAACTAGAGATTTTTTGTTATAGAAGATTGAAATTTATTGCATGCAGAAAGGATGTAATTAGCATGTATAGATGATAAAGAAAAAAAATCTCATATCTCATTTGACTACCCTTGCCACTTTTTAGAATACAACCTTCATCAGGCAACATTCACACACACACACACACACACACACACTCAAAACAAAACCAATTTTTGTCATTTTTGGTCATCTATACTTCAACTGTACAATGATTTGCTCTTAAATCTCAATAGGCATTCATCGGCCAATGGCAGAATTTCAGCCATTTTGGATGATGTCATAAAAAAGGCTGCCTAAAATATTTGTCTCTTGTGACTTTGTTGCTTTTTTCTTGTAATTAAAACCAAAATTTAAACTTTGAAGAAGATATTTAAATTATTGCAATATATTTTAACTAAAAAAAAACAAACAAACAAATGCCATGGATGTACCTGACAATGGTTGCTGTCTTCCAGTACATGTTAAGAAAGGTCTGAGATCTTGGTTCTCTTCCCCAGTTGATGATGATAAAGTCTCTTTAAATTTATTAATTTCTGCCAACTTCTTATGTCTCCCTACAAAAAAAAGGAAAAGACTCTTCTAGTAGAGTTATTTAACTTTGAATTTCTCCATAGTATTAGTAAATTGATCCATCATTTAAAGACTTAGTAGAGTCAAGGTAATGAGCCATGTGTAAACTGATATGAGAGATGTTAAAGATAAGTAATCAGTACATTTGTCTATTTTATCCATTATTGTGTAGCTGTCAAGCGGTCATTGCTCTGCAGAGCTCTTAAAATTATGTTAATAAATGGAATAATTAAAATTTGCGAATAATTGTTTGGGAATAGAGACTTTTCATTTCCTAACTTGGAAAAAAGATCTTTGAATTATTAATTATGTTATTATCTTTTGCCTGTGATAGAATAATTCAGGTATTAATACAAATTATGACAATTGTGTTTCAGGCCATCAAATTGAACAATGAAAATAAAGACAAGCAAAGCTTTAAAAGATCCAAGAACTTTGAAAAAAAACTAAAGGTAAGTAAAAACTTTTAATCAGAAATTATTTTGATGTTCTTAATAAAACCCCAAAACATCATGTCCATCTACAATTATTCAATGCTGTTTTAATACTAATTTTAAATTGTCATTTCTGCAACCTGTAATAGGTTGGGTTAAAACTTTCATTCACAATTAAGATTTCATACTATGTAATGGCATATAAGAATTTTTTTCTTTTTTTTTTCTCAAGTCTCTGAAATGGAATAAAAAATATCTCCCAGGAATAATATGGGATGGTGTAATGGCTGGTAGTTAATGTTTACCCCAAATATCAACTTTTGTACCACACCCAACTCTATTGTAAGTTTAAATGGATGGAGGGAAGTCTTATATGCTATCAAGTATGTGATCCACTGACACAACAAATTAGAGTGAGGTGTAGTCCAGTAATCTTATCATTAATTGTATTTGAAGCAAGTAAGGCATTGGGAAGGTTTTAACTTTTCTTGTCTTGTGATCACTGACTTTACTATTCCTCTACCCAGCATAGATTTACTTATCTTCTGTCTTGACAAACTGAATATTTCTTATGGTAGATCGAAAGTGAAGAGAAAGATTTGAGGATTCAATACAAATTTGACAGTTTTTTGGCTCCCACAAGTGTTTGTAATTAGTCTGTTACTAATGCATTGAAAATCAGTGGAAAGATTATCGATGGTGGGCATTAATGCTTGTCTCACTGATAGGATAGGCTTGTGATAATTTTGCAGTTTGTTCCTATTGTACTCATATTTAGTTTATATTTTATGAAAATATCTTCAAATGTTTTCGGTGTTTTTTTTTGTTACACTTGAAAATCTAAGACAGTTAAATTAAACCTAATGAACATTTAGTTGATGTGCATTTTGTAAATCTTGCTAATGTTTTCCTTCAAAAATAGATTTAGTTATTTTTTTCAGAGAAAAAGATTTTTAAATTTGTTTCAAGTAATGATATCCATTAACTGGACCAAATTACCATTGCTGAGTGATATACATTGATTGTATGACATATTTTTCTGTTGTATTCCCAGGATCCCGATAAGACTCCATCTGCTGTTGGATTTCAGCCATTTTCAGCCGCCCATCCTGACACTTTGGAGAAAGAAAAAGATGAAGAACGTGAAGTAAATACAACTTAAACTATTTGCTAAAAATGGCACTATTTTCTGGTTATATTGATTTGACATTTTAATGCATTAATATTTTATTTTCCTTGTTATGTATTCATTAAATTGATTCTTATTTCATTTTAACCACCAAGCACACAAACAATGTCTTGCCTCATCAGTGTTTCATTTAAAGAATTTCATAACTCATTTTAATGGTTTACTTTTGATTTAATTTAATAATCTCACACCTGCAATCAAGTTAATTGAATATCATTAAAAAATATCAAAATTGTAACACTTCAATTAATGCAATTTATTGGTTACTGTAGGAAGAACAAATAATTTAATTATACAGGTTATAATTTTTTTTTATTTTTTTACGATGTTCATCCTGTACAAGGCCCAAGAGCCACTCGAGGTAGAGGGTCACAGATTAAGAGGCATTGTGTATGAGGATATGTGGGGAAGATAATTGCTGACACTAAACTTGAATATATAAATATAAATAAGTTATTATTTTAGCCATTTTCAGTTACCAGAATTTCACAGAGTTTGTCATGTTCAAATTGTGTATAAATTGATTTAAAATATTAATCTGACATCAGTACATCAAAGAAACAGTTTTTGTAATTTTAATAATTGATATTAAAAATAAACAAAAACATAATCTAAAACAAATAAAAATCAGCCCAAAATTGTACCTCTTGTTTCTCTAATATTAAACTTTTTAAATTGTGGGAAGATATTTATTGTAGAAATTCAATCAAATTTTGTAACGTAATTTGTAAATTTCTTTCTTTTAGGTTTCTAAGCCTCGGAGGAAAAATCTTTCTGAGAGTTTTGTTATGGAAGGAAGCATGAGAGAATCAAGTAAGAAAACATTTTAACTTACCTCTTTTCAAAATGTCTGTTATTATTGTTTTACATCACAGGAATGTCAGAGAACACTAAAGGTATATTAGACACAAGCCTTAAGTAAGCACAACTTAGTTGGTTGCATATATATATATATATATATATATATATATATATATATATATATATAGGCAGTATATTTTCATTCAAGCATATTTGGTTAAATAATTTAGACATGTGTCTATTTTAGTTTTAATCCTTTCAAGTCCCCAAATTAATTTCTTAGTGGCTGTAGAAAATTGATAAAAATAATACTAAAATTTTCTTTCAAATAATTTTTTTTTACCAACTACTTTCATCTGAGACCATCTTCAGGGGGTTAAAATATCTGTGGATGTATATACAGTAATTATTCATAATAATCTTTTCACTGTTCATTTTACACTACAGCATTTCAAATTCAAAATTTTCAATTATGCAATGGAGGTAACTTTGTAATTTTTTTAAAAAAAAAAGAAAAATGTTTTTAATTATAATATTTTCATTTAGTATTTTTATATAAAACTTTGCTGCTGCAACATTTAAGAACTTCATTGCTACAATCATAGTTGACTTTATTTATTTTTGGCCACAAATCTCTTGTATAAAGGGCTTCCATAATTTTAAGTTTTTGCTTATTATCTTGATGAAGTACTAATGTATTTTCGACTAATATCTGTCTAAACTGTGAATGTGGAGATTGAACTATGCTCATTCAAGTGAAATGTAAGCCGTCTTGTCAATGTTGTTGTTATAAAACCAACATATGTATTAAAATTTTTATTAGAGATGCAATATCTCAGAGGACTATTAAATTGATATACGATGTTGGTCTTTTGTAAGATGTTAGTTGACAGAAAAGAATTGTTTTGGACGACTAGGTTGGTTGTATTAAATTTAGTATAGGATATAATTAACTTTATTTTTTTTGCTTGGATTAGTGGGGGATATATTAGTGTTTATGAGTCTTTTTAGAATTTTTTCCTCCTGTTTATTGTTAGAATTCATTTAATTACGGTATAGTAGTTTCATATATTTAGAGTTATTTGAGGATGTATTATGTTCCTTTTTATTTGTGTTAATATTTTTGATAGTTCATCAATGATGTAATTAGGAAAGTCATTATTAATCAGGTTTTGTTTAATATTTTTTGAATTCAGTATAGAAAATCTTTCTTGTTGAAGTGTTTGCTTTTTCGCAGTTTATTAAGTTTCGTATAATAGCTATTTTATAATAGTTAGGACATTCACTTTTATAGTTGAGAGTGCATATGTTTATGCCAGTTGTTTTTTTTATATGGGGAGGTAATAAATGTATTATTATCAGTGTTTATCAATACATCAAGAAACAGGATTTTATTGTCATTGTTAAGTTTGTATGTGAACTTAAGTGCAGTATTTTTTTGTTTTAAGTTTTTTGTAGTTCATATATTTCATCTATGTCTTTGACTAAAATGAGAATGTCATCTACATACCTAAGGTAAATGGAGTTTTTTTTTATGGTATTAAGTAGATTATTTTCTAGGTTAGTTATGTAGAAGTTGCTAAATGTTGGTCCTAGAATGGAACCCATAGAAACACCATTGCATTGTATGCAGATGTTATTTTGATGGTCATAGAAAGGAACTTCTGTGGTGCATATCAAGATTAGTTTTCTTTAAATAGTAGGACAAAGTTTTAATGGAGGGAGGAAATGGATTGTTGCAGATATTCTTTATAATTATATCTATCATTTCCCTGACTGGGATGTTGGTGAATAAACTTTCAACGTCAAGTGAGGCTATGATTTCATTATTAGGATTTTTGTTTTTAAAATTTGGATTAGTTTGTGTGTTGATTTAATGCTGTATTTATTGGGTATATATGGTGTAATTAGTTGATTAATAACTTTGGTTAGTTGGTAAACAGGAGTAGGGATTTGGGATATGAAAAGATGAAGAGGGAAGTTTGGTTTATGTATTTTTATAGTTCCATACATGTATTCTGATTTGTAGTCGCCAATTATTTTAGGGAATTTTAAGTTATATAGTCCTGCATTATTGGCTGTGATAAGTTTGTTGATTTTTGATCTTTCAGAGCCCTAGCCTTGAGTAAGTCCCAGATTTCTGGTTTTGTATTTATCAGTTGCTTTTTGTGAAATATATATATATATATATATATTTATTTATTTCTAGTCCATGGGATTTGAGTTTAAAAATATGAAACACATAATACAATCTATATTCAACAAGAGTCGTTTGAAAGTAAAACCAAAACGTTCTTTATAAGTTGGCTGTTTCTAGTCAGACACAGTAATGCTTGCTTTCTCTAGATCTTTTTCGTAGAGAGTTTATAAGAAACAAACAAAATATCTTATTCATAGAAGCAAAGGCAAATAGTAGAAACCTACAGGAAAGGCCCTTCCTATGTAAACATAATGCAAAAAAAGACCCCAACGAATACCAGTCAACCTGACAAATACAGAGCCTTCACTGAGAAGCTCATACAGTTAAGGCCAAATGACTGGCCCAAATTTCAAAACTACCAAAAAGACATTTACTCCAAGGAAATATTACAAACTGAACCACAAAAGAAATTCAATGAAACAATTGAAATAACAAATACAGAAAAAAACAAATTCTGACACTCAAGCACAAACCATTCCTCCAGAAAATACAAAATCTCCTTTTAAAACCATTAAAGACAGACTTAAGAACTTATATCCCCCCCCACAAAAAACAGAACTAGTCAAACAAAAACCAGAAGAAACTCACAGTGACCAAATACCTACACAAAATCAATTTTAGAAACTAGAAGAAATAGAAGTGGAAAGCCAGAACATACAAATGCCCAAAACTTCCAAACTCAAAATTAAATCACAGTCAAATTGAAATACCAGGAAAAAAACAGCTTCTAAACATGTACAAATAATCCAATGGAACTGCTGCAGAATAAAGGCAAACATAAATGAACTGCTTCTGCTAATTACAGACCTGTAACTAGCAATTGTTTGCCTTCAGGGAACTTTCGTTAAATAAAATGACAAACTTGACATAAAAGAATACCATCAATACAACTACACACATGACACTGGACATCGAGTGTCAGGCGTTACATTCATCCTGGTTAGGAATGTTGTACCTCAAAGTAAAATAAATTTAAGAGCTTTACAGGTGACTGCTGTTAACGTGACCTTACACAGTAAACTAAAAATCTTGTCGGCATTAAATAACCATTGAGGTTGATAATGCTGTAAAACAAAAATAAACCATAAACCAAAAATATCATTCATTAATTCCTATGAGCTAATTTGCATCTTAATATTTGCTTCATTGCATAAAATAGACAAGAAATCTTATATGGCTTAAATCAAAAGATATCAAAGAACTGAGCCATTTCTCATAAAATAATCTTGTGTTTATCGTCATCTGATAGGCAGACATTCTTTAGACAGCTGAAGATACAACTCTAAATATTTAAAAGGATTTAAACATTCTTGAAATGAACTTAGACTCATATTATTTCTTTTTATTTAGAGTAATCTGATATTAATCACTTTGTTACTGAATATGCAAACATTAAACAAGCAAGAAGTCAGGTCCATTGCAAGTATTCAGTTTTATTATTGATATTTATTCTCCCTTGATTACCTTCATTTGTTTCTGTATTGAAAATTCAGCTACATGACCAAAAGAGGAAAACAAAAAAAAATTAATTTCTACTTTAGCCTCAATACAATTTGTTGTAAAATAAATTTAGGACATTTTTGAAAGTCACAGGTTGTTTCTATTTTATTTTTTCTTCCAGAAGATAGTTCTGATGGAGAACAGCAAACACCTTACAAACGACCACGTCTCTCAGGTAAAGAAACAAATACTTTAATTTATATTTTCAGCAATTTATTAGATGCCTTTATTTTTATACTAGCTTAAAAGCCGCCCTATCGAGCGGCATTTAAACTAGCTCTATCAGAGTGGCTCTTCAGTGGGCCTTTGGCTTGTTCAGGAGTCCCTAAATCTTTGCATATTGTCAGCATTAGGTTTTTATTTGCATGGGACTTCCTTTTCCTTGCTGCAACCTTAGCTTTTTTGATTGCAATCTGGTGCTCTGTTGACGGAGATTTCTTTTTGTGATGCACACTGTTGCTGTATGCGATAGGCAACAATAAACTATAGAACAACTCAAAATTGATCGTTGCATTTAAGTATTGCATTAATGTTTAAGCTTACCTTTTAAAAGTTCAATGATAATTCTTCTGCCGCCATTTTAATTTAAAGACAATTTGATGTACATAGGTCTGTACTTTCTGTACAAACAATTTTATTTCATGGGTGTCTTTTATTGGATTTCGCAATTAATTTTGATTATTCCCAAATTTATAAAAATTGTTGTTGTATAAAAAAAATTTGTCACAAAAAAATCATGTAAAATTGCTGAAAATAATCGCAGTAATGAAAACTTGTAAATCCAAAATTTCAGGATTGCAGGTCCAGATCCAGCCTGGAATATTTTTAATTTGTTCATGGAGTCAGCCTGTATGATATGTTGGGCTACAGCCTCTAGGAGTAAAGTTAAAAAATTGTGACACACTGATATTCACATTTATTTATATAGATGAGATAGTGAAAGGTTAGAGAGTTGTGTCCCTTTAATTGAAAAATGGTGACAGATTTTTGCATTTATTATATAAAGGAAAAGATGGGATATTTAAAAGTTAGAAACTTGTGTCCTTTTGAAAAAGCTTGACAGAGACATTTTTGCATTTATTATACAAGAAGATATCATCTTATATTTTCATAAAGAGAGTAAAGATTGAATTTAAATGATGCCTAATAAAACTTAGTTTCCCTTTTATAATTACTAATTTTATCCCGAAATATTAGGTTCATACAATTTTCTGACAATTATTTATGAATTTGCTCCTCTCCCTTTTTCCAGAATTAGAAATGCAGAGTGTTGGAATAAACATTAACAATAAAATGTTTCATCTAAAAAAATAAAATAAAATAAAAAATCTTTAACTTTTAATTCTGAAAATTTGAATTTTTGGAGATTTCAGCAGAGCTTTTTTCACTTTCAGAAAATTCCCATTTTAATCTTGCATATTACATATATATGCTTACAAAATAATTTTTTTCTTAAAATTGTTATATAACTTTTGTTTATTTTTAATATTGTTGTGTAATAATTTTTTTCTCTCTTTGTAAATTTATGACCATCTGCATTTTTTTCATTTCCTGCCTAATTCAACATATAGATTATTCTTATAGAAAACAATCATAGCTGCTTCTGTTATTATTACAAGTAATTTTTTCAGGATGATAGAAAATGTTTGATACATTTTATTTGTGTGAAAAAAAAAAAAAACCCAAGAAATTCAGAGGTGTTGATGTTCATGATTTATGGAACCTCATGAGATTGTCAATAAGAAAAATGTCTGCATCATTATGATAAACATTTTTTATAAGATAAAAAAAAATTTGTCTCATTTACTGTAGCTACCAGTTTGAAGTTTCTTGTTTTTCTATTGGAAATCTTAGTTATATTCTCTCATTTCACTCAAAAGGTGAGGCTCACACCAATTACTATCAAATACTACGGAAAGAATTTGCAGAAAATACTTAACCACTTTTCCAATTACTGCTATATTGCTGCGTTTTGCACTTCTCCTTCTTTAGGGTTTGATCGTGACCGAGAGGACCGAAGGGACAATCCTAAGAAAGGCAACACCATTTATGTTCATGGTCATGGAGTTACAGAAGAGTTATTAAGAAAAGCTTTTGCAACATTTGGTACAATTGTAAATATAACAATGGAACTTGATAGAAAGTAAGTATTTTATGATTTGTTGGTTTTTTTCTTTTCTTTTCTTTGCATCATAGGGAATTTTCTCCTTTGATCAGTGTAGCATTTTTTTATGTCAAAATTGTGCTCTAAATGAATTCAGTTAGATTAAAAAAAAAAATTCTAAAATTCCCAGCATATCTCATTCATGTGCATGTGTACCAACATAACAAATTTAGTCCGATGAAGTTCTGAAAGATGAAATTTTTTCCACTTTGTCAGTGTGTGTGTGTGTGTGTATATATATATATATATATATATATATATATATATATATATAAATAAATACTCTATTCAAAATTTTTATCTAAAAAGCGCTAATAAAAAATATATATAAAGCAAGATTAATAAAAAGAAGAATTGCTTTGGTATTTTAAATGGATAAAATATTGAGTAAAAATCAAATGAATATTGCGCCATTTTTGATTTTTTTCCCACAAAAAATTAATTTAGAGCACAATTTTGACATAAAAATGCTACACTGATCAAAGAAGAAAACAATTCAAATGTCTAGAGAGTGGCTTGATGGTCATCTACAGTAAATTTGCACCCTGGCTCTTACAACAGTTCACTGTTCTTGGCAGAACTTCTATTATCACAGTGTGGGATACCTACTAATAAAAGTGATGTGAAAAAAAACAGATTCTAAATGAAGTCAGCTAGATATATCTAAAAAAAATTCTGAAATCCTCAGTACGTCTTGTTTGTGCTCATCTGTAGTTGCACCAACATAACAAATTTAGTCTGATGAAGTCCCGAGGGACAAAACGCATCACAAGTAAACTTTTTCCACTTTGTCATAGAATTTTCCCAATACTGTTCTTGATATATATATATATAAATATATATACTCTTAATTTTATCTAGTTTTTGCTGAGGAAGGAATAGTCATAAGTTTGGAAAAGTTAAGAGAAATGAGTATGAAAAATATTCTATAAAAAATGATTATAAAATTTCACTGTTTTTTATTTACATTATTTGGACTATTGTCCCCATCTTTGTCGCCATATTTATTACAATGTTTCGGCCGTTGTATGCTCCGGCCTTCTTCAGGTGGTTGGAATGTCGAACTTAACCTTTTATTTCGCTCACTGAGGTAGACTGTACTAGTTCCACGTTTAATATGTCAGTTATCAGTTATCTCCTGTTAATTTCCCTCTGAAAGTTCTCCACTGCCTTAACCGGGTATTGAACTCACACTCTTTGGATCCTGTCACTGGATCTAACCAATGCCTTTATCCACTATGCCATGTGTCCTTGAGGACCCCTGTCCATTCACTGCTTTTGTTTATGCCTTTATGAAAGTAATTTTGTTTTTTTTTTCTTATCAAGCTGTGCCTCTGTTTCTCTCCACCCATATTAAGCAGTGATTTATGACATTCAAATTGAGAAATTTGTTATTTTTCATTTTTCATCTTTTGAAACAAATATTTATATAAAAAAAATATGTAAATTGGTTGTGGTTAGATTTTATTTCAGCTTTTAATTAAAAATATTTTAGAGAAATATTTACTTTATTATAATCTATTTCATTGTCATCTCCAGGAAATTTGCTGTTATTTATTTGTTTCTCTTGTGTTTATCAGTTATCTTTGTTTTTCTTTTTTTAGCTGTGGATTTGTCAGCTTTGAAAAAATGGAATCCGCAGAACAAGCTATATCTGAAGTAAAAAAATAGTTTTATTTACTTATTTTTTGTAATAAGAAAATGTTTGACTTTTAAAAGTTATTTCTCTTTTGATAATCAAGACATTTTCATTTGTTGTTGTCAGAATTGTTCTAAAGTTGTTGATTATCAACTTTTGTCATGTGTGACTGGTAAGATTTATAAAAAGAAAGAGAAATCGAAATCTTATAGGCTCTTTCAGTAGTAGGCTTTTATGAAGAAAATGAAAAATGGTTATTGCTACAGAAAATGGAATTGGTAAGCCATGTTCACATTTTGACTGAAGCTACTTGTGTTCATTTTGTGCTAATGCCCTTGGGTAAAGCATGAATCCATTTCCTCCTGGTAAATAGTAGGAAGTTAAAACCTTGTTAGTCTCTCTAAGATTATTTATGACAGAAAAATTCTCTAGCATGACAGTTGCTTTTTGGATGATGAGCCAAGTACTTTGGCATTTTAAAAGCCTCTAGTGGCTACAAAAACAAATCCCACATCATTCAAAATAGACAACACAAGGCTCAAAATGCCTTCTTAAAAGGGGGGAATCTATTGTCATTATGACATCTTTTCTGTTATAATTTGATACTTTTATTTTTCGCCATTATAAATAACTTTGAAATTTTGACAAAGTTTAATCTCTGTACCTGTAAAAAAAATTGTGTCAAAAGGACAGCTTTTCTCTTGATGCTACTATTACTGCATACTCCCTCCACAGTCTGTAGTTGGAGATTTGTCTCCAGATGTGCTGGTCAATCTCTCTGCCCAGAGGCAGAAAGGATCCCCAGACAAGGCTATGTCAAAGAGCAGTCTCGTCTTGGGGGGAAACAGTTACCTGACCCTGTTTTAGACAGGGTCTACGGGGAAATTTTGGCTGAGCCTACAGGCTGGGATACTCCATATTAAATTTGGCCTTATGCCACCTTTGACTGTTTGGGGCGGTTGGTAGATATCTTGCATACTCCCTCCACAATATTTGTTTTTAAAAAGCTATGAAACAATTAGTTGGTTACTTATTTTAGTGCATAATTTTACTTATAATTATTGCCACATAAACCAAACAGTAATCAGTGTAGTATTTAAACAAATTTGCCAAAAATAATCAATAGTGCCATTTTATAGCCATCTGTCACTTATATTATTGCCAACTAAGACCGTTTTTACATAAGTATTGAAATAATCATTCTAAGTGATAGGATTAATTGAAATAAGTGCTGTGTAATTTGTTGCATTTTAATAACAAATATGTTACACACTATTTAATTGTTAGTATCTATTTTTTTAATCAGTTCACACCAAGCATGGGGCTACCAGAAGTGAAAGAAAAGACCTTAGAAGGAATCGGAAACAAGGGATAAACCTCTACTCCTGTTCAAAAAACCATGAAGTAGTGTAAACTGGATGATAGGTGAAACTATCTACAGTTTATTTACAGAATTAATTTTACATTTACAAGATTATAAAAATATGTGAACAAACTACCATTCAATATTTATCATTTACCATTCAAAATTTATAAATACTGGCAAGAGTAAATAAAAGAAATGCCCAGAAAATGCAGTTTTTCAAAATTTATAATTACAGCTATTTTTCATTATGTTTATTTTCTTGCTCAAACATTTTTATAAATTTATGAATAAAAAAAAAAAAATTATTTTCATATTTATTTCTTTATAAAATGGTAAATAAACATTGCATTGTAATTAGTTCACATATTTTCATAATCTTGTCAATATAGAATTATTGTAAATAAACATCTAATAGAGTTTAATATTTTTATCATCAATCCTCAAGAGCAAAGAAAATATATTAATCTACTTTCGTATGTTTGGGTTTTATTAAAATTCTAAATATATTTTTTTAAAACAAACATTGATGAGGGAGTCAAGAAAGTATTACAGTAATAGCGGTGTCAAGGGAAATCTTTTTGAGTATCTGAAGATTAAATTTTGCTGAAATTACTTGGTTAAACATTTCAGAGAAATTCTCTCTTATTGTAGGTAAATGGTAGCATAATTTCTGATGTCCAACTAAAAGTGTCTTTGGCCCGAAAGCAGCCATCTTTTAACCAGCCACATGATCAGTCATCATCGTGGGGAGCCATAGGTAAGTATTTTCAACATTTTACTGATATTATAAATACTTCCAATATATACCAATTAGTGTTTTATGCAAAATTCTGTTCACTGGGTATAATTTGATAATGTTTTTGTTTTATTATAGAATTTATCTAAAGAGGTAACAGTTAATCTGATGAAGGAACAAAGTAGTCTAACTTAGAATATAGGATAATATTCAGTAAAGTTTTGAACAAAACACTTTTTGGGTACATATTAGAACTAGCCTAATTTTTGTGGGGTGGGGAGCTGGGGCTTACATGCCATTAATATCAGAGTTAAGTATTTCATTACTAATGATTATTACTCCCCCCCCCCACTTTTTACTGGCTAAAATCTGAAAAATGAATTACACTTCATTGCATCATCAATTCTTTGCAAAATTTATTGATTTTTCTAAACTTAATTTATTTGGTTATATGATTGTGATGAACTAATTTTCCAAGTAGAACTGTTTAAAATCGACATTTGATGTTAGCTAATTTGATTTATTAGGAATTATCTATATAATAACATTGTTCTGTTAGTATCACTTATTTGAATTCTAACTGGTGACAATCCTCCATCCTATTAATGTATGTGGGATTGTCATTTATGGAGAGGCAGGATCACAAGAATATTCCTATTCATTTTCTTTTCCTATTCCAGCTGCCAGTTCATTATCAACAAGCAGTTACAAAGAAAAACGAGAGCAGATTACATATGATGAGGATATCTTTTCATGACAGAACACATCAATCTGCTCTTGGAAATGGACATTCTTATTATTCTTCATGTGATTTGTTCAGCTATTGACTTTTTTTTTTTTTTTTTTTTTTTTGATTGAGACAGCAATTCATCAGAGATTAAAGTTGTTTCATTTTAATAAATAATTTTTTATTAAACTTTGGTTACTTTTTCTATTTTTCAGTTTTGGTTTTTTACTCTCATAAATTGAATACTGTAACTTTTATATTTTTACAGGATGCATCATTAGCTTTCAGAATCCTTTTAATGTTCTGATTACAAAATTATTCTTGTGATTGTATCAAGTACACATCTATCCACACCACATGGCCCTTGCAAAATCATTTACATGCACAGTAAATTTGCTAATAGTGAAAATAAAATTGTTAATGCAATACTATTTTTTTTTAATTATATTAAAAAAGAAGAACAATCAGGTTTCCTTTTTTAAATTTTTATTAAGAAAAATTTTAATTTCTTTTTAAAATCATTTCAAGATATTTTGCTTTTTATAAATGGTATGTATGTGTATATATATATAAATATATAAAACTGGTGCAATTTTATGTAAATCTCATATTTGCATAAAGTAAGAAAATACTTAATGTTTTTTTTCTTGGTTTGTGACAAATGAAAAAGACCCCTAAAACTTGGTTATCTGAATTAAAATACTTGTAATTTGTCTAAACAATGTCCCAACTCTTCAATTGTAATAAAATTAACAGATAATACAGTCTTAAAAAACAAAATAAAATTCAAGTTTTGATTTTTGCCATATTTAGCCAATTAAAGTGTTTTTTTCCAATCCTTAAATATCTCTGCTGCTGCTTTTAAGGTGCTGTCCTCCTGTAAAAAAAAAAGAGAAAAATAAATAATTGATAATAAATAGAAAATCTTTTTGCTGTCAACAACCAATACAACACACACAGCTAGCTAGAACAAGATTTTTGCCCTTTATTGAATTACCTTAATAGCGGAATTGTTTTAGCTTAATTTTGTTTTTTTAAATTGCTTACCTTCACAATGCATAACCGAATAAATTTCTCTCCCAGATGCTTATTGCTTGAAGAGTAAAAGGCTGAAGGGGGAATGGCAGCCAGTCTCTGAAAGATAAATGTAGTTTCATTCAATAAAGGCAACAAATGAATGAAAAAGATGTCTCTACCAATGCAATGGGTTTCATCCTCACTGCTGAGGCCTTTTAATAAACTAAGCTAAAAAATGTACACATCTTTTTTTTAGTTTAGACAATGCGGTTATTGGATTAAAGTAAGAACTGCAAGATTTGCAAAGAAAAAAAAATCTTTTCAAGGATTAATTAGAAATTGATCTTACCTTTTCTTTTATCATCCAACGAATAAACTTAAAGTCATCTGGATCATCTGTTCCATCATCTGGCACTTTAATTCCTGATAGCAGACAAAATCAAGAAACAATAATTATGCAGTTTATTTTGAAGGGAATTTTGTTTTATAATCAAATATCTGATTATTTCTACAGTGGATTCCCTTCAAATGTCTGACTCTTCTATTGTGAAATCACTTTCTTCTTTTCTTTAAAAGCAGCTAATAATATCCAGCAATCAAGCTTAGTAAGAAAGTTCTTAGCATAGAATAATAATTTGAAACATTACCCTTAAAACTTAACTGACCTACAGATTGTTTCCAGCAAAGTGAAAGCCAGTGAGTCACTAATATGGTTCATATAGGAAGGGTTGAACTATTTGTATTCTAAATTTATGTAAAATTGTTGAATTTGACCAGTGAATTCCTGTTTACAGAAATAATTATTTTTCATTTGCGTAACCAGCACCATGGTGAATTGATACATCTAGTTCCTGTGGAGTTCAATCTACATCACCCAGAGATTAAAAATCACAATGTGGCAGAGAGGTTGTGGATTGAACAACCTGACTCTGCTGACCAGGTTTTAGACCGGAGCACCAGGGTGATGGGTTATAAAGGTTTCAATCTTCAGCTCCTTCATCTGATTAGATGAATGCATCAAATAGATTCTATGGAAGTGTTTGCAACAATGGCTACTACTATAAATGAGAAGCTGAGTACTGAAACTCTATAGATAAAGATGATTTGCAGAAATTGGTATCTAAAAATGGCACTTCTTTCTCCTAATTCTATATTCTCTTCATTCTTCAGAGTTGAGGCAAAGTTGAATATGTCTAAATTTTCTGTTTGGGCATTTTTATTTATAGGTTTTATCATTCATGATTTTATTGTAGTAGTAAGTGTAAAGCAATGATATGGATTATTATAGTAATATAAGGTAAATGAAAAAGTCTTTGCTGTTTTTTATGCTATGTGGGAAGAAGTGATCACTAATATGCAAATAGGTTGCTTGCATTGGTCTTGGCTAATGCAGGTGCATTGTGCACACACACATCAGACATAACTCAGCAAGAAACATGGCAGTGTCAAAGGAGCTTGTTCAGGATTATCCTTTTTATGACTTTAAGGTGGTTTTATCTAACCTAATATGTCAAGTCTTTGGGGATAATGCTGTGAGTGAATACATTGCCAGGCATTGCTTCCAGAAATTTAGGTTGAGAGGTCCTTTTGTGATTAACTCCAGTGGCCAGCCAAAGGTCCTGGATAATGAGGACCTGAAAACAGCCATAGGGGAGAGTAACAGCCAAACCTGTGGTGAGCTTGTCAAATCTGATGAAACAGACTTCACCTGCACTGCAATAGAGAAGGCATAAAAGTTGAGCAAATGGGTTCCCCACACATTGTCGGGAGCCAACAAGTGATAGCCTGTTTCTCGTTGTCTTCTCAGCACTGCAATGTACCTATTTTTGATTGAGTGCTCACCAGTGACGAAAAGTGGGTCCTGTATGACATGCTCAAGTGTGCCAGACATTGGTTGTCACCAGGATACCCTGTGCCTCACACCACAACAGCACCTCTACAACCATGCAAGATAATGCTCTGTATCATTTAGTCAACAAGTGGTACACTATAAACTGCTACCAACAGGCCAAATCATCACTGCAAACCTGAACTTGAATGTGTGCAACAGGTACTGAAGTAGAAGAAACCAGCACTGATTAATCACAAGAGTGTACTGTTCCTCCATGACAGTGCCAGGTTTCAGAGATACCATACGGTGATTTGGCTGGGAGACACTGTGCCATCCACCTTACTCCCTGGACCAACAGATTAACACCCTGGACAACCACCTTCATGAGAAATTCTTTGCAAATGAAGCAGATTCTCACAGACTTCTTTGTGTCCAAGACACTCGATTTTTACTGCCAGAGCATTGCACAGCTGGAGGCATATTTCTAATAAATTAAAAACAGCAATGACTTTTTCTCGTTACCTTGTAACATTATATTCTCAACATTTTGGCTGTTGTACTATCCAGGCTTTATACTATGAATTTTGAACCAAACCCTTTATTCAATCCATGGAGGGAGGTTATTCTTATTCGGCTTTCCATTCTAGTCAGTTGCATTCACATTTCTACTGGTTGTTCATTTCTACTGAACCAGAGTATATGATTTTTTAGCACCAGACACATTGTGGTTTAAAAAATTTAAAAAAAAAAAAAAAAAAGAAGCCAAGAGTGGGTGTATTAATGCTAAGTGGGGTGTGGTAGTTTGAATCTCCACTACTTCTTTTTGGATCTCACTTGTCTTTACTTATTCTCAAATCTCCTTCCTTTGCGTCTCCTAACAACCTTTCTCATACATCCTTTTTTTGCCTCTCTGACTAGCATGTTGTTTCATCAAGTTCACCAAAACAAATAAAATCCCTGACTTCTATTTTTGTTTGAGTTTTACAGTCTCTTTCTTCCTTCCCATAATTTGCCTTTTTCCTCAGTTTGTCTTAATGTCTCGCTATAAAAGAAATCACCTGTTGCTGCTTCTTCTCCACCACGAGGTAAGTGATATTCCATTTTTTTTTTTCTTCTTTCATTCAAAATTCACATATTCATGCCTTTTCCAAAATGAGAGTTGGTATGATTTACTCTTTTTGATGAGTGTAATTGATCAAGGCTGACTAATTTGCATGGGCCACTTCACATTCATAGCCGACCTGTGGTTAAAAACCATGTATATAAGCTTTATAGTTCACATTAGTATAAGGTTGAGTTCTCAGCTAAGATCAAGGTGTAGTATCTGTTATGTCTATGCTTTTAGGCAGTGCAGAATTTTGTAAATGATGTGCCATAGCACTAAAGAAGGTGAGTTGGTGGATGTGGGTAGTAGGCAATATGTGTATGGGCAGTTGGCACCCCATGTTAAATCAACCACACATTGTTGAGTTTATGATACTGAATATCTGTGAATAACAAAAAGCTTCATATTTCAATATTTGGATTGTCAACATCAAAGATTGAACTTACAACAGCCAGGGAACTAGACAGGATTTGACCAGTGGGCTGTGGTTTTCTTGGGCAAGTGATTTAAGAGGTGGAAATTTTGAGTATCCTTTCTTTCATAATTAGTGGTGCTCGGATGAATATGATCCTGATTATGTATGAATCACAGATCTTTTGAATCTTATCCATCCCTTTTATGTATGGAAGACTAATCATGACAGATTTTTGATTGTCAATGACTACTCTGCTCCTGTTCCTGAAAGTTGATCATGCGTGCAGGGTAGTTGGTATGTGTCTGGGTTGCCACTTAAAGTTTTGCTTGGTGAGAATTTCAAATATTGCATGATGAATGTTGACTCATGATATAGATGTCTTGAATACATTCTCTTCTTTTTTTGATATGTTCATTTTTATAATTTTAATAAAAAAAAAAAAAAATTGTGGTAAAGAAGTTTCTTACCAAGTGGAGCAATGTTTACCATCATGAAAAATCCTCCTTCTGGAATTGTTGGTTCCATCCCCAAATCAATGAGAACTTTTGCCAATTCATCACGTTTCTTTGTAACAGCTGCAGGCAGATATTGGAAATAAGATTCAGGTGTGTTAATAAATTTCAGCTCATGTTCAAATGCAATGGCTACAGATTCCTGAAAAAGAAAAAAAAAATTTTAACACTCAAATTGAAAATTGTTAAAAAAAAGGTTTTGTAGATTCTGTTATCTTACAGTTTGCCATCAATAAATGGAATTTTTTTTGAGTATTTAGTATATTATAAATACAAATATTTGAGAATATTGAGTTTTTTTCTGAGACTATCAACAAGAAAACAAACATACTTTTTACTTTGTGATTGAAAAATATTTTTTCAAATTACAATAAATTATTAAATATTATTCATGAAATATTTTCGGCCATTTTTGGAAGATTTCTTTAAATTTAAACACCAATTCTCAAAGTACAATACTGTTTTTATATGATGAAAAAAGAAAAACAATGTGCAGAAACTGCCTTATTACTTCTAGAGTTGTCAATGGTCAAGGTAAAAAAGTAGAAATTTTAATACTGATTTTCCAGGCAGGCCCTCTTGGAAGAGTGGCACAATTTGACATTGTATTGAAAATAATTGACCATTACAACTTTATTTTTTCACCATAAACATAGTATGCATTTTCTAAAAGAAAAAAAAAATTAGATACAAGCCCATTTGAGCATTTATGAATACAGAGGTCTCTTTGCACTCAAGACCAGAACTTCTCCTTTGCACTTTGCTAGCCTGTGTATGATATCGGAAAATGCTTGATTATAGTTGAATCCACTCTGGCAGCAATCATTTACAAGATGTCATTTTTTCTTTTCAAACTATTTTGTAATAGGGTTAACAACATTGAAATGTAAAAATTACATTTGAAAGTTAAAATTGAAATAAACAAATTTAAAACATTGGCAAATTCAACTCTGGCTTCAGGAGGGTATAAAACCTAGATCAGAAATAAGAAGAGGGGAAATGAGCAGTTACATTGATCTCTGATAAAATAAGATTAATGTATTTTCAAATGCAGATATAAGTGTGAAAAAATACCTTTTGGCAATAATAGAGTTAATGTGCTGATAGGTGGCACTTGGATATGTTTTTTGACCCCCCCCCCAACTCCACCTGGGTGGTCAAAGTGTTTGAAAAGGGTTTGTACACGATTTGAAAACTGGTAAGGGTGAAATTAATTTGAAGCCGAGGATTGGAGAGAAACCAGATATCCAATTTTTTTTGACAATCATCTGCAATTTTTATAATTTGGATTTCTGGCAGAGAACCCTTCACCAGTGGGAAAGCCATCTTGGTTAATTTACAGGAATATGGAGATAATAAAATGTGAGCTATAAGCATTGTAAATTGTCATTTTCTGGCATCTGGCCAGGTATAGTAAAATCCTTAATGATTGTTAATTTGGGAATTCTGCATGTAAGTAAGTGTGCATTTTGCCTGGCAGTCCTGTGGGGAGAAAGCAAGCCAGATTTGATAACACACCCACATTTTGCCAACTACAGAGAACCCTCAAGTGTAATTTTGTAGAAGTTAAATTTTGTATAGTTATTTTTTTCCTCTTCACATCAAATTCTGTTAAGTTTACTGAACATGTTTGGTTCGTTTATCAAAGAACTTTTCTCCCCTTTAAGCCAACCATCAACAACATAACTGTAACCAGAAGCTGAGGGTTACCATTCTCTACAGGCCATAGAGTTCATTGATTTTCTACAGGGAAACAACAGCAGAATTTGGATCCAAATACTGACAATCACCTTGGAATGGGGCAAAGGTTTAATCACTGTTCAAAAGAAGTGAGGCAGAGAAATCTATTGGCCTTGTTGGCACTTGTTCCCAGGTATGACATGGTTGGCTGATACTGACAAATTACCTGAGCCATTTAATTATATCTGTTGCAGCAAACCAACCAGTCGTAATTGACAAGGACAAGGAGCTGACCACACACCACACTCATCTCCACCAGAAAGCAGGTATTTTTATCATGAAAAGATTAACTTTTAAGCAGGTTTTGCGTCTATATGAATTTTCTGTAAAGGAAAAATGCTGTTTGCGTTTATTTCTTTTTAATTTCTAAAGAATTAATGGATTTAGTTTTAATCGGATATTTTTATTATTTCAATCGATGAATCCAATATAATACTTTCAGTTTTAGACATAGTTATCTCCCTTGACTCATCGATGTTACCAAACAAGATTCTCGTGAGATAAACATTCAGACTAATTATTTAAAAGCGATGTTCAAATTGAAGAAACGTATATAAAAACCAATTTTAAAGGAAAGAAAACCGATTAAAATTAATACCTGAGTTATAGTTGGTACGTTATATATACAATTTTGATGTATAACAGTTGCTGGCTGCAGTAGTTTTGCTGGCCCAATAGTCCAACCTGTCTTCCAGCCAGTCACACTAAATGTTTTTCCGGCACTTCCAATAGTAAGTGTCCTCTCCCACATGCCAGGTAAAGTGGCTGCATTTTTAGAAGAAATTCTAAGTTATTCACTCCAAAAAAGATGCATTGTATTAAAAGAAAATTCACTCAAAATTAATGAATAAATAGGACTCTGTTAATAGACAAGAGTTTTGACTTAAACTTAAATCTATAAGAGTTGAAGAGAAATAATATGTACAAGATTTTAGTTCTACTGATTTGTACTTTAATACGATTAGAATGTTGAATTGGATTGTATTTAGGTACCTCCTAAATAAAAAAAAAATATTAACAATATCCAAGTTTTAAAATGAATTTTTAAAAATGAAAAATCCTTTCTTGAAGCTTTTATTGAGTTTTAATTTAAAGCTAATAGATTAAATTTAATATTTCAAATAAGCAAAATACTTTGCTGTATTTTCAAACTAATTTAAATTGATTGGAAGGAGTTGTTTTTTTTTTTTTGCTAAAATAGCTGATTAGCGCACTTTTTTAGTCATCTTTCATTGAAAGGTTATTCACTTTATTAAAAAAAAAATCTTCCAAAAATAAAATATACTTTTCTGAAATTTTATTTGAGGTATACTAACTAATTTAAGGTATAATTAATCTGATTTGAAACCACTATTATTTAATTTACTTTAAGTTTAAAATATTGGAGAGTTGCATTTTTTTTAATTAAACAATAGCCATGTTTATTTAAGGTGTTTGTGGGTTAATGACATTGATATTTATCAAATGTTGTTCTATAGTGGCTTTAGGCATTAAAAAAGTAATTGAATTAACATGAGTGACTTTTATATATACTTTTTTTTTCCTTTACAATACTAAATTCTTTCTACAATTGTTTCCCCTGCCACAGCATTTTTTTTTTAGGATGCAGATAACATGAACACCTACTGTTTTAAAATTGTTATAACTTTCTTTGTATTTTGTGTATTTTATTTTTTTATACTAATAAAAGAATGGATGAGTAATATTTTGATATAATGCATTATGTTTTGCATGCATGTTTTGACATTGAAAACAAAAAATTGAAACAAAATAAAAAAAAAAACAAATACATTAACAATTTAACATACTTTAACTTTTATTACTCTTTGTGGAGTTCTAGGGTGCAATGAGAAGCAAAATGGCTAAAGAAGTCTTTCATTTCCTCAAAAGTGATGTCCTTTTTTTGTGTTTATATATGAGTAAACACCGACATTTGTTTAATTTTTCCTTCACCTGATTAGCATATTTGTCTCAGTGAAAAATAAAATTATTATTTTGTTGTTTATAAATACATAAAATAATTCACCTTCAAAAAGGCTATCAGGTACATCCATAGGGCTAGTGGCTTCCATAAAATTAGTTAACCATGGATGATAGTAGCAGCTCAGTATCTAGTGGTCCTCCTTGTCATGAAGCATCATTATCATCTCTATCTCTTGACTACTTCACCATCAATATCTGCTCGAGTAAAACCTTCAAAATCATCATCGAAGTCCGAATAACTGAATAAAGGTTTCATTGGATGTTGATGTGACCTTGTTTTTTGTGACAAAATTAACGTGGGTTTAATTGATGTTACACCTCGTATAGAAGAATTCAAAATAGCATTGGAAAACAGAAGTTTTGCCTTGTTCCAAAGCAGTAGTAGGTGATTTCCAGCTTAAAATACAAGAAATAACAGTTGACAAGTGTTTATTAATAGCAACAGTCTCAAGGTGACAGAATGTGTCAACAGCTGCAAAGGGGGAGAACTCTTCTTTTATGTGTGTCTTTGTGTCCCTTCAGGATGTAGGCGATCATAGTCCTCCACTTCCTTCTGTCCCTTGTTGCACTTAATAAGTTTTGATTTTTTTTCTTAATTCTCCCGAACACAGTTCAACCATCCATTTACTCAAAACCCATCAAATATGTTATGCACTGTTTTCCTCTGTTCCTCCTCATTACATGCTCCAGAAATTTCAATTGCCTCTTTCTGAAGTTAAGCATAAGTTTCCTCTTCATTTCTCTCCAAAACTTTGTTGTTTCTTATATGTTCAGTCCATGGTATCCTCAGCACCTTTTTGTAGAACCACATTTTTGTTGCTTCAAGTATCTTCTTCATCTTCAAGGAGATTGTCCAGTATTCACTGCCATACTGGAGAACAGATATCACATAACAATTCAGTAGTTTTTTTTCTTTGTTTCTAATGAAATTTTTCTGTCTCTTAATACTCTGCTTAGCTTTTGGAATACATCTTTGGCCATCCCAATATGTCTTTGGATTTCAGTGCCGCATCTTCCGTCTTCTGTTAGTACACTTCCTAGATATTTTAATTTTTGTACCTGCTTGATTTTAGTATCACCAACCTATAATTTGCATTTTGTTTTATTTTCAAATTACATCTTTTTGGCACAAAAGCTAAGTTAAGTTTGGTTCGAAATATTTTAAATAAACATTATAATTTCTGATTTTCTTAAAATAAGTTTTGAAAAAAATGATAATTGATATTTAAAAAATTTCAAAGTCAGATTTCCAGTTTTTTTAAAATGGAAAAAAATGGTCAATTTTGCTGACTCAAAAAAACTAGATTTTTTAACGAAAATTTCGGACGTGCTAGAACGATTAAAAAATGGAAAAAAATACCCCAAAATACTTTGACCTTTCCTCTTAATAATAACAAACATTTAGACGATAAAATTTTGTTTTCGTCAAGTTTGGCGTCTTTTTCATCATGCTATGCTCTTTTTTTAGCGATCTCGTGGAGGTACCTATACTTAGTCCTTTCTTCTTGCTTTTCTTTTACTACCTTCTGTAGGAGGTTTTGTAGTTTCCTTTCTGTGTCTGCTATTAGCACTGTATCATATGCATATCTTACATCATTAAGATTGTGGCTGCCAATAATGAATCCTGGTAGGGCTTCTAATTCTCTCAAAATTGCCTCGCTGTGTAAGTTGAATAAATTCAGTGAGGAGAGATATCCCTGTCTTACACACCTTTCTATTTTTGTATATCTGCTGAACTCATTTTTGCCTGCATGTGGGCAGTTTGCTGTCAGTATAGATTCTTGATTATTCTAATGTCTTTTCTGAATATGTCAAGATTGCCAAGCAGCTCTTAACAGATCTTTGTGGTGTACTTTGTTGAATGCCTTTGTGTGGTCTATAAAATAAGAGGTAAACGTCCTTCTGCATTTGTATTGCTCTTTCTGACAACATACTGAGCATAAATATCATGTTCCTTGTTCCGGTGTCTTTTCAAACCTGCACTGTTCTTGTCCTATCTCTGACCTGATTCAGCTGCGTGCTCTATTAATCCGAATTCTTGATGAGTTTTGTTACGTGGCTCATTAGGTAGATTGTCTAATGGAGTTCTCATTCGTTTGTGCTTGGTTTCTTAGGCAATGCTATGAAAATAGATCTACTTAGGTCTTCTAGTCTTAAAAATTTAAGAAAATATTCACCATAATGTAATGTTTTATTGAATTTTAAATATTTTGGGCTGTAAATTTACTATAATTATTGCTCTTATTTTCTGGTTATTTCATGTATGGGCGTCTGTATATAAAAAAAAAACTTGTAAAAAAATTCATTATTCATTAAATAATTTTTTTTAAGACACTAGTGTCCTTAATAAATCTTATTCATAAAAGCAATTAAATAATGTCTTAGTTTTATTGAATTTTTTGTTTTACAATTCAGAGCAGATTTTCGGTAAATGGTGTGTCTATTTGAAAATAAAAACTGATCATTTAAATTGTCCAAGGATTATTGCTTTTAACTAATATGAAGAGGGTGGAATTTTAATTTTCTAAAAATTTCATTAATTAAGTAAGGGGGTGCATGGGTAATATATGTAAAAAAAAAAAAAAAAAAAAATTTTTTTACCAAGATTTTCTAAAAAAATTTTTTTATATAATTTCATTCATTTATGAATAAGTCCTGAAAATTTCATTAAAATATGACAATTATTAGATTTTTAAAAAATTTCCAAATTTATGTGTTTTTTACTGTGAAAAGACACTAAAATTTCTCATACTAATCTTTGCTGCCCTTGGTGATACAAAAAAAAAAAAAAATTAACCAAAATTTTGAATATGCTAAAAAGGATTAAAAAATTTAATAATCAAAAATACTGTGGTATTTTCTCTTCTTAATAATTAATAACGAACATTTTGATAATAAAACTTCATTTTTATTAAGTTTGGGATCTTTTTCATAATGTTATGCGGGTCTTTGTGTTTTTTTCTTTCAGTGAATTATTGGAGGTATCTACATTTATACATGCATGTGTGTAAGAGAAAGAGAAACTGATAGAATTGATTTAATTTCTAAGAGAGATCTAGAACCAAAGAAGATAAACTGAAAAGAGAAAATTCAAATATCACATTACAAGGGAGAGAAAATTCAGTTGGAATTTTTGCTGTCAAAATCAATCTAAGAACTTATTCTAATATCAAAATTTATGCATTTTAAAAAGTTGAAAAAACAAAAACTCACCAATTTTTAGATGTTTTTTATTATCGAAAATAAGCCATTCATAAACTTCATCTGCAACAACGACAACGTCATGTTTTATGCAGAGATCAGCAATCATTTCCAATTCTGATTGTGAAAACACCTGCCAATAATCAAATTAAAAGAAAAAAAATTAATTTCTAATGTTTGCAAATTTATATTCAGATGTTATAATAATGAAGGCAATTACATTGAGAAAGAAAAAAGTGAAACTCATTTTGGAATTTTCTCTGTACTTCAAACAAAAATTAAAAGCATTTCATACATTTTTTATTTTTCCTAATTTTTTAAAGTTATTTTTTCTGTGACCCCTATTTCATACATAAAACATCCTTTCTAGAATAGCTTGGTTGCTTCTTTATTAAGGGTAGTCAGAAAAAAAAAAATGCCCTTTTATCTGGAGCCTAAAATTATTTCTAAGTTGATTCCTGACTAAAACTTGAATTAAATCAATTTCAGAAGTCAACTGAATGGTGTATTTGGTTGTTAGATATTCTTTCACCATCTGTATTAATATTTATTTTTTTCATAAATTGTGGTGAAAGAGAAAATCACTTACCGAGAAAAAGTGCACGTACCTCCTGTACGATATGCTGAAGACAAAATAACCAAAATAGAAACAAGTCAGTTGCAGGTGTTGCCATAAATGCATATCAGATATGCTAATATTGTTTCCTCTCCCACCTGTCAACCAATGAAAAAATCGTTCCGTCGGTAAAAGCAGTTAGTGTTGTAAAATTAGATAGTCATTTATTTTTCTATCTTGTCCATTGGCTTGCATGTTGGATTTCTGACCGTTTATGTGTATTGTGATTTATGACATTGAACCTGCGATTTGTGATTTTGACATTTCTTTCTGTCCCTGAATCTTAACGTTTGAATTTGTGATTTGTTTATTTTGCTGTTGAATTGAGGTGACATCAATTTTTGAACAATATTTGGATTAGAATATCAATTTCCAAATTTGTAATATTCAGTTAAGAGTAATGTCTTCAGATATTAGTAGTTTTACCAAAGGTACCATGGAGACTATTGTAGATTTATCACTTTAGAAAGAAAAAAAAATTGATTCCATTTTTATGGAAATCCAATTATGTTTAAAAAAAAAAAAATGAAAAAATTTTTTCCCTTTTCCAAATGAAAGAAAAAAAAACAAAATTTCAATTAAACCTGGAAGAAGAAAAGCAGTAAATTACTTTTAGAAACTGTTTTAAAATCCAAATACATTCCTAGGATTGGAATATAAAACAAATTTTTCAAACCTATTCACTTCCAAAGTCGGATCAAGCATTTGCTCCTTGTTTGAAGTGAGAATTTTATCACATCTCTTTGTATTCAATCAATTCTTTTAGTTCTTTCATCAGTTTAGAATTTGTATTCAATTTTCAAACCAAATTTACACCTGCTTTATTTATAAAATAAAAATACCGTTTTTCTTTTTAAAATCAAATACAAATGGCACCCAAAATAAAAAAATAAAAAATTTTGACAATGGAATGCAAACATACCTTTCCCAAAGGATTATTTGGAGTGTTAAATATTAACAACTTAGTTTTGTCATTAAACTTTTTAGCAAACTCTTTCTCATCCAATTTCCAATCAGCACTTGATATTTTTCCATCAGTCGCTTTGTTCATCTATAAATAGAAATAACTCAATAAATACAGACAAGAAAAAAATTCAAATCTGTTGGAAGAACGTTAAATATCTTTAGTCTTCATAAAGTAAATCTAAAAAAAAAAAAAAAAAAAAAAAAGGAGTTTGATTTAATGAGAGTTCTGTCTGGGAAACAAAATCCCAGTTAGCAGACATCTAGTTCATTTTTAATCTACTCCATCCAAATATGGACACTGGCTTATTAATCACAAAACCCCTTAAAATGGCAAAAATATACATGCAACAATGTGTGTGTGTTTAATGCTGACAATTCTATGTTTAACACACCGTTACTCTCCCACTTTTTCTTTGCTAAGCAAAGAAATCCATATTAATTTACCTTAAGCATTTATCTGTGTGCTGATGGCCAGATTTTATAAAATTGTGAATATGGTGTTGTAGCATACCTATGGATGATAATGGGTATGTCCCCATCCATGTGGATAGCTTCAAAAGGGTTCTAAAAAAAGCCAATGGTGGATCCACAGATGCTGCATTACAGCAATTTTTACAGGTGTATAGCCTTACACTGAATAGAAAAGCGCCTTCAGCCATGACTCTGACAAAATTATGTTTGCACAAAAAATATGATCAGTTTTTGACAAATTTCTAGCCAATAAGAAAAAACATGATCATGCAGTACAAAAACCTGAAAAAATTTTTATAAAATTGGTCAAAAGGATTTTTACCGTATATACCAGTCAAATAAAACATATCGGGAAGTCGGAATTGTTGTCTGAAGAATTGGCAGGATGATATATCTAGTAAAAGGTCTCCTGAAATGGTACACAAGAAGCACTATAACCCTTAAAAATCTTCAACTGAAGAGAACACTACTCTAGATGAGGTTGAACATATTGAGGTTGTTTTTGATACTTTTGATTTGTGCATCCCTTAGAAATCTCCAGATATAGAAGTCTTAAAGAGATGGAATAAAAGAAAAAGAAGAAGGGATACGGAAAGCATCAAAGTCAACCCAAAAAGGGAAAAATATTGACTCTGTACAGAGTAAATTCAAAAAGCAGGATGTTGTAGTATACCTACAGATGATAATGGGTATGTCCCCATTCATATACATACAGTAGTAAATACTGTATTTTGGTCTGCAGTTGGAGATTTGTCTCCAGTTGTGCTGGTCAAACTCTCTGCCTGGAGGCAGAGAGGATTCCCAAACAAGGCTATGTTGAAGGGCAAAGTCTTGTCTTGGGGAAACAGCTACCCGACCCCATTTTATAATGGAGTCTATGGAGAATTTTTGGCTGAGCCTACGGGCTTGGATTCCCAACATTAAATTCCACACTGTGTCACATCTGACTGCGTGGGGCAATTGGTAGATATCCTGCAGTTGGAGATTCATTGTGGAATTCACTTGACTCACTTCTAGCAGTTGATAACTACTTCTATGTGCCACTGGCAAATCTTATATGTGTTGTTCTTGTCCTAAGTATTTGTTGGGGCCACCCACCTTCTCATCAGAATGGACTGATCTCTCTACTACTAATAGGACAGTTCTATAGAGTTCTGGGAGATCAGGTGACCATCACACTTCCGTCTCTCTACCGGAAGATACAGTTGGACTTTATACTCTTTCTGATTGTTACTAACCTGCGTTCGTTTGACTACTAATCTCTCTGTTGTAAATACCTCTTCAGATATACCAGTATTTTTCCCTACGTATGTGTTTGTCCTTATTTCAATACACGCACGTGGAAACACTCAACATCTCAACAGTATTATTGTTCATTACCAACCTTCGTGTGATTATTCTATTCAGTAACCTTCCCTAGGTTACAACATATGGTTTATGAATTCTTTTTCAAATATTTTTGAAGCCTGGTAAAATCTTTGTTTTTAAATGTTCCATTAAAAAATTCTTTTGCAATTCATTTCAAAATATTTACTTTTATAATCAATGAAACAAGAAGAAATTAAAAAAATTAATGATATTTGAAAGAAATGAAAAGTCTGACTTACTGTTCGCAGAGGAACAAAAACAGGAACTCCACCAGCAGACTTTACCATTGGCTCATAACAATCAAAATATGGTTCAATGATGATTACCTGAACAGGTGAATATAAACTTTATTAAAAAAAGAAAAAGTTATCTGTATAAAATATTGAAGATTTCTGTAGATGAATGTAAAACACAAAAGATGAAATAAACTTCAGGAAAAAATATTTAAAACAAAGTTTGTGTTTCAAACTTGTTCAAGCAGAAACATTGTAGAAAAAAATTAAATGGAAAGTAATTATTGATATTTAGTGACACTATAGTTTGGACATCCACATAGATGAAGCGGGTGTGATTTTATATTGATTTTAAGTGTTTCGGTTTTATAGCTAACAAATCGTTTCTTTTGAAATCTGATTTTCTAAGTGACATCCACTTTGACTGAAGGGGAATGGAAGAGTAAGGTGGTGGACCGGGCGGGGTGGAGGTGGGAGTGGTGGGTATCTGAGACCAAGGAACAACAAAATGGACATTAATTATTTCCAAGTGCTGGTCTATATCAACAGTCAGGCTTGGTATCGGGAGAGTCACTTCTGTCTGTTGTGTAGTTTCAATGTTGTCTATTAATATTGCTGGCCACATGTCCAGATGTGTCAATGGAAGAAGAGCTGAACTATGAGATCGGCATAGCAGAAGTTATCCAAGTGTCACGTAGCTACTTACACAGATGAACAAGTAAAGCCCTGAACAAAAATAACTATTTTATAATAAGGGAAACAAAGTTTGTGCTATTATTACTTGACATGGTATTTGTTTTTCATCTTCATTACATTGCAAACATGCAGCAGGCCTTTTCCCAGCTTTTTTTGAGGATCAAGATGCAACATGGAGTAATCATTGGCTGAGTGATGGAAAGCTTGGATAAGGGACACATTATATGTTCACAATTTAATAAATTGACATATAAAAATGACTTTCCTCAAATATTCATTCATCCTAAGCAAGGTGATAATGCACTAACATTCAGCAAGTGTCTACTGGGAGTGAAAGAAAATGAAAAGACTTTAAAAAGAAATGGAAATCTAATCCTAAACAGGAAACAAGAGATAAACCTCTACTCCTCTTCATTAGATGAACTTTGAAGTCAATCTTACATAGTCTGCGTTATTAGTTGCGGTCTTGAGGTTATCCATTGGAAATGGAGGGGGGGACTGAATCCCAGAAACTTTCTATTTGTTTTTTTTTTTAAGAAAACACACATAAATAAAAATAATTACAATGTATGGAGGTAACTGAAATTAACTTTTTGGGATGTTGCTGTTTTGTGATAGAGAATGGGGAAAAAAACAAAAAAGAATTGGTAAAGAAATTGCAGGATGTCTTACCTCATCTCCTGGATTGATGAATCCATGGATACAGCAGTATAAAGATCCATAGCCACCAACTGTGATCAAAATATCTTTCATTGGATTGATTGATTGTCCCATAATGGGAGAGTAAATTTTTGACAGTGCTTCACATAAGCGCTGATGTCCCTGAAAATCAGATTTGCATTTTTATTCATTTCATTTCAAACTTGTGTGTGTGTATATATATATATATATATATATATATATATATATATATATATATGTGTATGGATAGTAATAAATTATATAATTATATTGTTAAAAATTTCGTATATTTATAGGGGTAGGATAAAGTGTTCCGTACAGAGGATATATATATATATATATATATATATATATATATATATAAAAATAAATAAGCAGTATGGACATAGAAATTAATCCTGCATGGTGATACCAGTTTCACACCTTAAGTGATCATTTAAGGGTCTTTGAATTTCATCGAATTTTTTTCTTGATAATGACTGAAGCCAGTTAAAGCCTTAGAACCTTAAGAATTAACAGGAACTGTTGATGCTTCTTTTACACCTTCAACACTAAAAGAGAGAAAGTAATTCGTCAGCATGAAAAACAACTTATTAAAAATATATCAGACTTGTTTGTTGTCTTTAAAGAAACTTGTTTGAACACAGATTATATATATATATATATATATATATATATATATATATATATATATATATATATATATATATATATGGCTACTTGGCTCCCTTTATATTTTTAACTCCTCAGATCCAAAGTATGAGGCTAATATGACAATTTGAAACTAAGAGGGTGATTGGCTCTTTATTCAAAGTCTTTAATAATGATAAATCTTAGTAGAGAGAAAAATGCTAGGAACAAAATAGAATTGTGAAGCATCATTTAAAAACAAATTCCTTTTTCAAATAAGACTATTCTCTGATTTAAAATAAATGTAGCTAGATTTACATTCATGAGTTTAGTTCCAATGTGGCTGGCAATGTATTTGAGGATATCATCCAAAATCCAGCCATCTAAAAAAAATTTATACATCACAATTTAGTAAATGTTGAAAAGAAAAACTTACAAAACCACGAGCATACTGATGTAAAAGGTGGTTTGAAGAATTGGCTGCTTCTTTCATTGCTTCAGTCACAAATGTTGGTGGTTTATAATCAGGAAAACCCTGAAGAGAAATAATGATAGCTAAATTTTTATCCATTAATTTTTGTTTATATTCAAAATAGCATTAAAATGTATCAAGTATAATTTTCTTGTTAAACTGCATTTCAATTATTTTGTCAAGAAAATAAAAATGCAAATAACTTTTTTCTCAATTAACCAATTTAGATAAAAGAAAATAATTATTATTTTAAAGGAAATTCGCATGAACATTGAGTACCATTTAAGCAAAACAATTTTCATCAGAACTTTGTGGTGAAAGGCTTCTAGGTCAAGCACCTCCTCACACATGCATATATATATATATATATATATATATATATATACTTGGATAAGTTAAACCACAGAATTTGTGAAGAGTTGTGCTATATTGAGTTTAATTAGTAACCTCTTTGCCACCAAGGCCCATTGGTACAGTTGGTATGAAGCTTGTGTTGTATCATAACGATCCGTGTTTGATTCTCAGTAGTGGATACACACTGCTGATGATCCCCAAATATAGGATGAAACGGCCATCCAGTGTTTTCTGCATTCTGTTGAGGATTCTTCTAGATTTGATGAATTACTTAATTATGATTATTTCAAATCCTCCTAATTATATATATATATATATATATATATATATATATATATATATATATATATATATATATATATAACCTGGAGCAGAATATATCAAATGCAACCAAAGACAAATGTTGAATTTTTTTGTTTTTTAATCATTTCAACTCAGGCACCAAGATGCAAGCGGTTACCAAGTGTGAAAGAATATGAGAAACAAAATCACTATTAAGGAGAGAGAACAATAAAAGAACAGAAATTCAACATAACAATTGACATAAAAGCATTTAAATTTTTGAGGATCAAAGCTGACTGAGAAGTAAGAAGCCAGAAGATAGTTCCACAAGTGAGAAGTGTGATAGAAGAAACTGTCAGCAGAGATTTTATGGTTACATCTAGCGAGCCATTTCAACTATAAAATAATGATACCTTGCAGCCAATCTCGTCCTGATCTTAAATTAATAAAGTCTAGGTACCATAGTGGAAAGTTCATCAAAACGATTACCATGAAAATATTTATAGAAAAGGCACAAAGAAACTGCGGCAGTAGGAAAGTAACTGTAGCTGAGATGCCAGGTCAGGACTAATAACATTGAAGATTCTTCTTTGAATTTTATGAAGAATATCTAAATTATAGCAGGAGTGCCAGAACAGATGTGGTAGCCCAATTCAAAACATGGATGAATGCTAGACTTATAAATATATAAGATTTTTGGGAAAAAAATTCTGTAGCAATTCACAAATATACACATAAATTATTTATACCAATGCAAAAATTGTAAAGAAGAATATTAACTGGTCTTCCATTAAAAGATTATATTTAATCCTTTCTCAATCTATCATTATTTTGCCTTCTTATCTGATCTGTTGCTGGTTACTTAATCTGGTTTGTAGTCTATAGTTTGTCCGAGATTGAATCAAAGAAGGAAACTTAGATGAAACATTGTAATAATAGAAGAATAAATATTAACAACAATAATTAAAAAGTTTCAGATTAAAATCATCCACTGGTATTTGTAAATATCTTTATTTATTTACACAGAAAAAGATAAATTTGAAGATTAGAAAAGTTAAAAAATTACATCATTTCTGTTCTGTCACGATGAATCATAGTGTTTTATCTAACAAACTATAAAAATATGGTTTTCCTTATCTATATTTAAATATTTTCCATTTTAAAATTTTCATTAATAAAAATCTGTTCACTTAAATAACGTTTTTCATAAAACCATTTTTAATGATACTGTAGAATATTAAATTTAAGAGTTACCTACCTTGATATAATATTTGTAGGCGCACTCAATTTAATCACAAAGGACTCCAAAATTAGAATGATAGAAATACATTTGACTGAAGATTCACATTTTAAATTTAAATACAATTCAAATAAAGTAAAAAATGAAGTTCAACAACATTCTATGTCAATGAAAGGACCCAAATAAAATTCAAAAGGTTAATCTCTAAGAGCTTCTAAATTGGCTGACAAAAACATTTAAATGGTTTTCATTAGGCTTCCACAGAAACAAACATCATTCAGTAGAGTGAACTTGCAAGGATACCCAGAACTTCTATGATAAACTACAAGATAAAATAGTAAGTATAATAATGCCTACCGAATTAGGTCTATTTTAATTTTTCTCAAAGAAAGAACAAATCAGTTATTCCTCTGTCATGCCGTGTAGCGCATGGATGTGTATTGATAATAATAATAACTCGAACACGTGTGTAGTTATCAATAAGGGACTGTCATGGCGTATGTTTATTGATCAAGGCGCATGCGTGTTTGTATATATAAAAAAAAGATTGATGTTCCGGGAACCCGGAACGAAGGAGTAGGCAATATCATTACATTCCCCTTTCTCTGAAACAAAGATCGTAATACTAGGTCTCTAAAACAAAACAAACATAAATAAACAGAAAGGCTCATTCAGGGTAGACTACCTGAACAGCTACAGCAAAGCAGGGGATTATTCTGCCCCATTAAGTGCTTGCTGTGAGGTTATGAGAATGTGTTCATCATAAGTTCATCCTTGATGGCGCTCGCACCATCCTACCACTACGGGTACGCTTTTGAGGGTCATTTGGCATGTTTGGGATCGCACACACAGGTGTATCCACAAAAGTCACACATTTCTGTGAAGCTGTTTTTGAGACGTCTTGGGACAGTTGTGGGTCAGGCGCCACTGGGATACTCCTTATGTGTTGCCGATTTCTTCGCAGCACATTCCCATTGACATTCTCCAGGAGATATGAGTGGTGACCATCTTCCTGGGATACTACAGTCACTGGGTCCCAGCTTTAAGCTTTTGTACCCTTACCCTTTGGCCACAGTACAGGGTGGTAGTTCCTCCTTGAGTGCATGTTGGTCAAAGTACCTCTTTTGGTTTTGTTGATGTTGAATCGCACTATATATCTGATCCATGATCTTGGTGATCGTTTCTGATTTTGGTAATCAGTGGAGATTGGATTCGTCTACCCATGAGTAGTTGTGCAGGACTTGGCATGACGCTTGAAATTGGAGTACAGCGCCAGTGCAGCAGCACAATTTCAGGCGTTGTTCCCAACTGCTTGGCTTTTTTGAGGATGTTCTTGACAGTTCTTATCTGCCGTTCTATGAAACCATTTCCCTGTGGTCTCCGAGATGTATTGGTCTCATGGTGGAAACCCCATTCTTTGGCGAATTCACGGTAGAGGTGACTTGAAAAGTGTGGTCCATTGTCACTGACTACCTTTGATGGTATTCCAAACTCTGCAAAGACTTGGCGTGTGATGTTTACTATAACACTGCTTGGTGAGTGAGCAGGTAGGTGTTTGACTACAGGGTACTTGCCATTGACTTCCATGGAGATCAAACAGGTCTGTGCCAACTATGTCCCATGGCTTTGTTGGGATGTCATGTTGCATAAGGGGCTCTTGCATTTGGGATGGCTGATGCTGTTGGCAGATGCTGCATGACTTTGTGAACTGCTCGATGTCTCTGTTTATGTTTACCCAGTAGACAGTATCCTTGGCGAGGAGTTTTATTTTCTCTTGTCCTAAGTGAGCGGTATGAAGCTGTTTTAGGATGTCTTCTTGAAGTGTCTGGGGAATGACAATTTGTTGTCCTTTGAGGATAAGACCATCATCAATTGAGAGCTGGTCTCTTAGACCCCAGAACACTCTGATGTCAGTGGGCACCTCCTTGATTGTCTCTGGCCATCCAGTGATGATGGTCTCTCTCAGCTGGTTAAGCAAAGGATCTGCTGTTGTACAGTTTCTCAGTTGTTCAATGCGATCAGTGGAGAAACGGACAGTATCAACCCGGACATCAAGCTCGATAGGGTTCGAATTACCGGGTGATGGTAGGTGTGATAGTCCATCAGCCAAAATGTCGTCAGATCCCTTGTTGTAGGTGAGCCTGAAGTTGTATCCCTGGAGTTGTATAAGCATTCGTTGCAGGCGTGCCGGGGCTGAGGTGAGTGGTTTGTCGATAATCATTGTAAGGGTTTTATGGTCGGTGATGACTTGGAAATTGTGGCCATAAAGGTATGTGTGGAATCTCTGTGTGCCAAATACAATGGCCAGTAGCTCATGCTCAATACATGCATATCTTTGTTCTGTTTATGTTAAGCTCTTGCTAGCATATGTGACAGGCGATAGATTGCCATCTGCATCTGGTTGTAGCAGAGCTGCACCTATTCCCTGTATACTCGCATTACAGTGCATATAAATTGGGAGTTTGGGGTCAAAATAGTGAAGCAGAGATGTTTTAGATACTTCGCTCTTTAGATCTTTGAAAACTTTCTGGTGATGTGGTTCCTATTGAAAATCAGAGTCCTTGTGTAACAGGTCATGCAACACGGTAGTTTTGGAGCTGAAGTCCTTGATGAGGCGAGATAGGTATGTCATCACACCTAAAATTCTGTTTTGTTATGTGGTTCTGACATCTCCTGTAGGTCATGTACTTTTGTTGGGTCAGGTTTCAATCCGGTATGTGTATACAGGTTTCCAAAGAAGGAGATTTCCCGGCGTTTAATCTTCCATTTCTCTGATTTGAGGGTAAAGCCCTCTTGAGTAGTGACCTCCATAAAGCGCTTTAAGTTTTCGTCGTGTTCATGTTCTGTTGACCCATATATAGTGATATTGTCAGCTATACCACAGGCCCCAGTGCACTTCTCGAGTATCCTGTCCATCTCAAGTTGGTAAATATCTTGACTTACACTTAGACCAAATGGAAGTTGTTCAAAACAGTACCTCCCAAATGGCGTTTGGAAAGTTGTTAGTGGCTGGCTTTCACGTTCAAGCTTTATGGATCAATATCCAGACTTAGCATCCAATTTTGAGAAGAAGATGGTTGAGCTCTTCGACAGTCGAAATTTGGTGGTATGGCCATATGAGAGCTTTGTTTAATGCTTGTGGGTCTAGGCAGACTCTTATATTGTTGTCACGTTTGGTGACATATGTAAGAGAGCTTACCCAGTTTGTAGGTTCTTCAATACGGCGAATGACTCCTTGTGATTCCATCTTGTCGAGCTCAGCTTTGATTTTTTCGCGCATGGCTATAGGTGTCCTTCTCGGTGGGTCTATATGGCATGGCACATTGGGGTTAACAGCAAGCTTGTGAGTCATCCGAAATTCACCAATACGGTCGAATCTGTCAGGATAGAGGCGCATTAGGTCAGCTACACTGTTGATGGATTGGTGCTGGCAATTAGTAACTCAACGAGGTGTTCGTTTACTTCGTCAGCAGTGAAGTCGCGTTTCTTTGCTAGCAGTCGGCATCTGTTAACGAAGATGTCCGTTGTTTCAGTTGGCTTTTGTTGGTATTTGCCGAGTTCGAGTCTACAGACACGGTGGTTGGTTGCCGGTTCGAGCTGCTCCATGAAGGCAGAGAATATTTTTTGTGGGTCCTTGCGGTCGTCATCTGTCATGGACCAACTGTTGTATTGGCGTAGGCCTTCTTCACCGGCTGCGAGGAGAATTAGCGGCACCTTGTCTTCGTGTTTTGTTGCCTTGATGGTGAAGTAAAGCTCCATACGTTACCGAAATAGTTTGAACGATTCGGCAATGTTTTGCAACCCCCAGTCAAGACTAGGTACTTGTATTGACACTGTAGCCATAATATCTGCATGTTAGTAGCGGTTATGTTGTGAGCCCGGTGTGGCATGAGCGAGTGAGAATTTATGTAGCGTGGACGATTAAAGAAAATAATGTACTGCTGTTTGTACTCACCGTTTTATTTCGGTACTGTGATTTCGTAGGGTTGCTCAGTGTATTATCCAGTCTCGCTGCCACCATGTCATGCCGTGTATTGATAATAATAATAATAACTCGAACACGTGTGTAGTTATGAATAAGGGACTGTCATGGCATATGTTTATTGATCAAGGTGCATGCGTGTTTGTATATATGAAAACAGATTGATGTTCCGGGAATCCGGAATGAAGGAGTAGGCAATATCATTACACCTCAAAAAGAAACTTTCCATACTTTGAAGAGAAATCTTTGCTTAAGAACACATTTTCATCTTTTATAAAGATGTGTTCAATTTTCTGTGAATTTATTTCTAATTATAATTATTCCATTCTTCTTCCATACATTTCAATGTTTATTCAGATTCATTCAATATTTAATTTCATTAGAATACTTTCCCTTGCCAAAAATGGATTCTTTAGAATATAAAAATATGGTTTCTTCAGTAGAAAATATCTTTAAATATTTCATGATACTCACTTGGCCCAAATTCACGGCATTGTAATCTGCTGCTAATTTACTGAACTCCACCCTAAAAAGAAAAAAGTGAGATGCATTTCCAGATGAAATAAAATCATTTCAAAGCAAACAATTTTTTCACACTTGTAATCCACAATTATTGAATTATAAAAAGAATGAACTAGAATCTTAAGCCTTTGACCATCAAAGGAAACATTTTTATAGAGCCTGAAACAAACCAGACATAAGTAATCTATTTAGTGGAATAGGCTCATGTGATTAAAGTAGTTTCCCAGCACATGACAATTCATAATATTCAAGAAATGAAATCAACTTTTGTGAATGTATCAGATCTTTCCAATAATTTTTATTATTGTTTTAGTAATAATTTAATACTGTTCTGTAGGTGAATGTTGTACTAATTTGGATTTGAAGCTAATATTTAAAATGATTCCTTTTCATTTTGCAATGTACTGATGAAGTAGATTTATTAGAAACATTCAACTATGGATGCCCTTCATTTTTATGAACCTCTATTATAACAACATACACAGACAGATGCAGAAATATTCATTATGGGGGATTGGATAAAAAAGATTTGACATCAAATCAATAAGAATGAATGAATTTAAATAAACTTTTCATAATGTAAAATATCTGGAGAATAAGAGGCATGAATAACAAAGCAGTGACAGCAATGCCATGTAGATGGAAAAGCAAGCAGCCATGAAGAGAAGTAAAACTTAAAATTCTGGAGTAGAAGAATTTTTTTTTTCAAACCTAAAATGAATTCTTTTCTTTTGGCCACTAGAAATGAATAACTTACAGCCATATCAACTTGAGACACCAGTTCTTGTTTGATTATCAAAGTTAAGCAATGTTAAGCTTGGTCAGTACCCAGTGACTGCTTGGGAATACCAGATACTGTAAGCTTGGATGTGTAGTTAGTGAGATGGATAACAAGTGTGGATGAGAAATCGGAGAGCTGAGTTTGAATTCCAATCAGGTTTGTGACATTCATTTACATGCAAATACCTTGATGTTGATGATGATGAAAGAAATATTGTCACCCAAGCATGTTACAACCGTCCCTACCAATTATAGCAAAGAAAACGGCATCTTACCTTGTCAAACCAATCAACAGCGCATCGGGTGTATTCTATGATGGAAAATGTGGCGAAAAAGAAAATTACTTACCAAACAAAAGGGCATGTATTCCGCATGACATGCTGAAAATGGAATATTTGAATTAAAAAACAAGTCCATCGCAGGAGTCGCTATAAAAGTATTTTGATATGCAAATTACTGAACATCCTCTCCCAGCTGTCGACGAATGGAAAAAAAATGTTCGGCCGATAAAAGCAGTTGGTGTTCTCAAATCGGGTATTTTGGCTACCACGTTTGTTAGTGAGTGAGTTATTTTTCTGACTGGTTACACGCATCTTTGTGTTGTGGAAGTAATCTGTGACAAATACTTCCTTTGCTTTCAGAACGCTTACAAGCTATTTCGGCGTATGACGGATAAGACATTTGACGTCAAGTTAATACCAGAGTTTGATGGTTCAATGACTGGACAAGCAGTTACTGAATGGATTGAGAAGGCAGAACTTGTTTGTAAGCTGTGTGGGATTAAAAAGTTTGAATGTGTTCTTCCTCTGAGGTTGATGGGCGGAGCATTTGCTGTTTACCAACAGTTAAACTCAGAGCAAAAATCAGATGTCGAGCAGATAAAACGAGCCCTGAGGATTGCCTTTGCGCCGGATCGTTTCTTGGCTTACGAGCAGTTCGTGGTATTCCTTCACTGCACTATCGGACAAATCTGTCGACGTGTTTCTAGCCGACTTGAAGAAGCTAGCAGGTCTTTTTGGCGGGATATCTGAGCAAGGACTAGCATGTGTGTTCATAGCAGGGTTACCAGGGCACATCAAGCAACTACTGCGCGCATCTTCCAGGATTGAAGACATGAATACAAACCAACAGTTGGACCGAGCTCAAGCCATAATGAAAGATCAAAATGCAACCGAGGAAATGGTTGCAGCTACCATTTCACCAGGTGGAGCTGATAAACATCCAAATGTTAAATGTCGGGAGGGTATGCGATGCTATCGATGTCCTGGGTGGAATCACTTTTCCAGGGACTGCCCAGTTTGACGAGATGATGCCCACCAGCCATGCAGGTCACGCGCAACAATGCATTGCTTCCGGTGTCAAGAGGTAGGCCACATTGCTTCATCGTGTCCAGGAAAAGAGGAAGGGGACAAGACGTCAGTGCCGGTCTGTTCCCTAAGCGAGTTATGAATGAGGCACTACCTGTCTTGGGTATTTACGTAAATGGAATTAAGAGAGTAGCACTGGTGGACACCAGCTGCTCACAGACACTCGTGAGTAAGTCAGTCTGTCAATCCTGGCGGGAGATGGAGGTAGACATACTCACCGTAAACGGAAATATTCTCAAATGTTGCGGAGTTGGAAGTATCAAGCTTGACATGGACAATGCAAACCCCCTTAAAATCGAAGTCTTGGTAGTGGATGGAGAACTATTGGGTTTCGACTTGTTGCTTGGGTTTGACGCCATTAAAAAGTTGGGCAGAATCCAAATAACAGAAAGTGGCGATGTACAGTTTCCCAAGCGTGGAATAGTCTGTTGTGCCGCCATTAAAATAGAAGAACCTGATTTCTGTGCCGAATTCGACCCAAGCCAGAAGATATGGGTTGCATCATGGAAGTGGTCTAATGGTCGATCACTGAAGAGTTTGCGAAATTGGATGCCCGAGTACCCAATACCAAAGGGAGTCAAGGAGGAATACGACCATGAGCTGCAGACCTGGCTTGATAATGGTTGGTTGCAGCCTTATCCTGAAAAGGAACTCGGTCCTCCAAAAGGTTTAATTCTGTTGATGGCGGTGGTGCAGAAAAACAAAAATAAAGTGTGGCCAGTATTAGACTATCGAGAGGTGAATGAGTGTCTCGACACACACAAGGCCACTGCTGATGTGTGCGCACAGAAACCGAGGGAGTGGCGTAAAAAAGGACTGGAAGTCGCTATCCGTGACCTACGGCAGGCTTATTTGCAAGTACATATCCATAAGTCACTTTGGCCCTTTCAAACCGTAATCTTCAAGGGATGAAGATATTGCTTGACTCGAATGGGTTTCAGGTTGAATGTTGCACCAGCCATAATGAAGGCCATTGTGGATGCCATGTAGGCAAATGATGAGTCAGTTTGACGGGCAACCTCATCATATATTGATGATATTTATGTTGACGAGAGCATTATTTCAGCAGCTTGCATGAAAGAGCACTTGGCTGCATTTGGTTTGACCTGTAAGGATCCGGAGCGGTTATGGGATGGCACACGTGTGCTGGGTTTGCACGTGGCAGAAGATAACAACACACTTAAGTGGACACATGAAAATGGCATTCCATCAGTTCCTGAGGTCCTGACACGACGTAACGTCTTCTCATGGTGTGGAAAACTGGTGGGTCACATTCCTGTGTGTGGGTGGCTTCGTGTTGCTGCATTATTTGTAAAATGCAGGACAGTATCGATCACATCTGGTTGAGACGATGAAGTGACAGATGCTCCCCTCAAGAACATGATTGAGGACATGGTGGAAAGAATACGCCAGAATGACCCTGTACACGGTAAGTGGTGCACAAGCGGACAAGCTTATGAGGTATGGTTCGAAGCAAGTTCTCTCACCACAGGGGTTTCGTTGGAGGTTGACGGAAGCATTGTAGAAGATGCATGTTGGCTGCGACCTGTGAAGGACGCCCAACATATCAATTTATCAGAATTGGATGCTATTCTGAAGAGCGTCAATTTAGCATTACAGTGGGGAGCAATGGAGCTACACCTCTTCACGGACTCTGCGTGTGTGCACCGGTGCATATCAAACATGCTCACTGGCAAAGCCAGAATACAAACTAAGGCAGCAAGTGAGATGCTGATCCAGAGGCGTTTGAGTACTCTTGAAAAGCTGATTCAAGAGTATAACTTATTGATCATGATAAGCGTAGTAACGTTGAGTGAGAATCGAACGGATAAGCTCACCAGAGTACCACAATGATGCTACGATATGATAAAGAAGGAAACCGAACCAACACACCCGATATGCGCTTCCATGGTGAACAAAATCTCTCCTGATCAGATATGTGCCATACATTGCCAGAGTGGACATCCTGGCGTCAGGTGGACGCTATATTTTGTGAGATGAGTCTACCCTACGACATCCAAGGTGGCCGTCAAGGGAGTGGTCAGAAAATGTAAAGAATGCCAGTCAATTGACCCAGCCTCAAGTCGTTGGCCTCGTGGCAACCTAAGTGTGACTGAAATCTGGACCCGCTTAGGAATGGACATTACACATTACGGTGGGTAACACTACCTTACATTAATTGATTGCGGCCATAGTAGATTTGTGATATGGCGACGCCTGCTTCAACCAGACTCAAGAAGCGTCATTCGGCAGTTAGAAAGTATTTTTTTGAATGAGGCCCACCATCAGAAATCCTGACCGACAATGACACTGCATTTTGCAGTAAGTCCTTTAAAGATTTCTTGGATGACTGGGGAGTCCAACTTCGTTTTTGCTGCGCCTATGTTCCAGCAGGAAACGGTATAGTGGAAAGATCTCATTGGAGCATAAAGCGAATTGCAGCAAGAAAGCAGTGTTCGATAATGGAGGCAGTATACTGGCATAATATCATGCCAAAGGATGATATATCATCGACTAATGCGCCTGCCAATATGATTCACCATTACCAACTGAAAGTGAAGGGAATTACTACAACATTACCACCTGATCATTGTAGGTATCACGATATATACAAAGTTGGGAACAGAGTATGGGTGAAAGCTCCCCATGGCCGGTGTACCTCCAGGTATCAAGTGGGTTGCGTGACAGACATTGTAAGTCCACAAACATTACTAGTTGACGGGATGCCACAGCATGTAAAAGATCTTCACCTTTTCGTTGATTCTGATACATCGCTGAGTGAATCTGATGATGATTCATCGTCTGACAATTAGTGGATAATTGAGATCTGCGAATCCGATGCTTCCACAGACACAGA